CTTTGCTGAGTCCAAACCTGGGGGATCAGCTCCCAGGAGAGTACATGTCATAAAAGGTAGTCCAAGTGTGATGTGTCAACACTGATAATTATATTTTTACCTGAGAGACCTTTGCTGTTTCAGGGAGCCCAATCTCACATGAGCAGGCACAGCACAGTTGGAAGTGGTGTACCAGGCTGGGCTGTGCAGTGCATCCCTATGTCCTAAGAGTTGTGTCCTGATGGATTGTAGGAGGAAAAAGTTCTGAGATTACTGGGAAATTTTTCCAGTAACTTCCTTCCTACTGTTATCTGACAAACTTTTCTAATGTCCCTTGTACCTACCTGTACTCTGCTGACAGCAGGCAGGATCCTTGAAGGCTGCTCTGAAATTCCTGCTTACAGCCAGAAATACAGTTACAACTTGTTGATTCCTTCCCTCTCTGTGCCACAAAGTGACCAGCTGCCATGTCTGGTGTGAGGTGCAGGTTTGGCATCTTGGAAAGGAAATTGCAGCTGGAAGTGTTGCTCTGAGCTGCTCTTCAAAGGATGAAGGTGGAGAGGACCATGGTTGAGTGTGCAGCAGAGGAGTGTCAGGAAGGATATGACTACAGCTGAGGATGAGCTGCTGGACACCCAGGAGCAGAACTGAGCTAGCAGAGCACATGGACTGCAAAACACAGGGGCTGCCTTTACAGAGTATGCTGAAGGGGATATGCCCCAGATCTGAATTTGAGAGTGAGAAGAGAAACCCCAGTTATTTCAGATGAATGCAGGGCAGGAGAGGGGGAGTCACAGGAGTAGGATAGTGCAACCTCTGTTTACCTGTTCCTTATCAGATGTCACCACCTCCTGTTCCAGCCTGACCCAGCAGAGCCCAGGGCTGTTGCCATGGGTCCTCTGTCAGGCCTGGAACTCAGCAGTGCATCAAGGGATGTCTTGGTAAACATTCCTGGCTGCAGTGGATTCTCCAGGAAGCTCTCCCTGGGAATTTGGTCCTGCTGGAGGGAAGGAGAAGAGGGGCATTGGTCTATGATTTCAGTGAGAATGACAGTGAGCAAACGACCATCGGGAAATGACAGAGGTTGTGGCTGCTCCATCCCTGAAAGTGTAAAAGGCTAGGTTGGATGGGGCTTAGAGCAACCTGGTCTGGTGGAAGAAGTCTCTGACCTATGGTAGAGGGTGGGACAGGATGGGCTTTGGGGACCTTTCCAACATAAACCATTCTGTGATTCTGTGACAGCAAAAGTTTCTTCTGGTGTCCTACATGGAAATACTGACGGCATTGTGATACCTGGCAATGAATCCCTGGTGATGTATGGAGAAGGAGGAAGAAGTGCCCCATCAAGTGCTGTTGAAAACACTCAGGAAAAATTAGACCAAAAATGATCCCCTAAAACACAAAGGTGAAGGGCAGTACCATAGATTGGTTGTTACTGGTGTCCAGTTCTGGCATTCTGAGGGGGTGAACTGCTCCCTTTGGAGTTGGAGGTGTTTCTTAGGGCAGTGGAGTCCAGAACAGCTGGGGGATTCAGTAAGTCCCTTTACTGGGTGTAACAGCTCCCACAACTTTTCCTCTCTCCACCCAAAATCAAACTGAAATGCACAAATGAAATTTAAACCTCCTTGAACAAAGTTCACTGCAAGTGGTCCTAAGTAATGTTCCCTAAATGGCTGTAATTAGCAACCAGCTGATGGAATATTTACTCCAGGATTTTTTCTTTAAAAAAAAAAAACCAACCCAACACAGACACAAACCACTATTTATTTAATTATTTATTTTACAAATTCCTGCCGTTGATTGTGCTGAAAATGTGACTTACAGAGCGGAAGCTGAAACTGGAATGGCTCTGGTACTGAAAAAAAAAAAACACAAGAAAAGCAGCTTGCACAAACAGGCAGCACTTGCAGAGCCGTTTGCTGCACCAACTTAACAAAGTACAATAAATTAGCAATTTCAAAATAACACAATTTCCCCTATTGCCTTGCAGGAGCAGTTTTTCCACGATGCTCTGCCGGCTCCTCTCCACATCCCTTTTGCCAAACTAGTCGGTTCCAGTTTGGTCATAAATCGCTCGATGTCATGCAGTGAAGGGGAGGTGAAGGATGAGGTGACGGATGTCCCTCCACATTCCCAGCCCTGGGAAATACTTTATCGAGTTCCAGGAACCTCTGCTCCCATTGCTAATCCGCGCCTGCCTCCCCTTGGACAGGCCTGGCCACTTCCTTTCCCAACAATCCTCTCCTGCTTGTTTGCTTTTCAGACAGCCGATTCAGCCTTGGAGCCAGGGGGTCCCGAAGCGCTTTGGGTCCTGCCCCTGCCACCTGCAATGAGCTGAATGAACTGCATTGGAATTGCTCCATCCCAGCCAGAACAAGCCCTATCTTTATTAATTTTGGGGCCTGTTTTCCCAACTGTGCTGGCAGTTTGGCCTTGGAAAGACGAGAGTGGACTGTGTATCTTGGGGGCTGCTGAGGCACCTGGCTCGTATCTCACAGATGATATACATGTTGGATCAGCCCTGAACCAGGGGCCCAGCCCATTCCAGATGGTGTTCCCAGGGGGCAAGGATGGAGTGGGGATGAGTTGAGGGTGCTGAGCTGCCCTTGCACCCTCCCTCGGGGGAATGAGGGTGGTTTGGGGAGTGAGATTGTTTGTAGGTGTGTAGGATGGAGACTGGAGAGGAGGTGAAGAACTAGGGGGTGCATGGATGTCATACCTGCACCCCATCTCTGGGGCAGGGGGTAGGTCAGCCTCTGCTCCCCTGGTGGTGACATGTCCCTAGGTCTGCACTGCCCCATCCCCAGGCCCTGGCTGGATCTGACCCCCTCCTTGTGCCTGTCACGCCCCAGCCCCTCTGGCCGCCTCTGACCATTGCTGCCCCACCACCTGTGATCACCCCCTGCCCCCACCTTGCTGAGCCTGAGTCCTGACTTCACTCCAAGGCTGGATCCTGCCGCCTCATCCCTCCACGATCCCATAGTCCACTTTGACATTCTGTTTCCCCTCGGCCCTGTATGACCACCCTCCATACCTCCTGCACCCCCCAGACCTGCCCTGACCCCCAGGCCCTTCTGACCCCGCCTTGTGCCTACCACCCCAGCCACCCTGACCCCATGGATCTCTGAACCTCTGCTTCTTCCCTGCATGTGCATTACTCCCCAATACCCCCTAGACCCGTGCCCATCCTGAAACTAGATCCGACCTGCCCTTGAGCCTGCTGCCCCCTCAGCCCCAACCCGAACCCTGTAACCTCATGGTCCATCCGGAGCCCTTGCTGCTCCCCCAGAGCTGTGTGACAACTGCCATGCCCCCTGCCCCCTCAGAGCTGCCCTGACGCGCAGGTCCTCATGACGGCCAAGTCCCACCCAGGCCCCGTGTGACACCCCCAGTTCCTCCTGCCCTCAGAGCTGCCCTGACCCCCAGTGCCCCCCCGCCCCCTGCCCCCTCAGAGCTGCCCTGACCCGCAGGTCCTCATGACGGCCAAGTCCCACCCAGGCCCCGTGTGACACCCCCAGTTCCTCCTGCCCTCAGAGCTGCCCTGACCCCCAGTGCCCCCCCACCCCCTGCCCCCTCAGAGCTGCCCTGACCCGCAGGTCCTCATGACGGCCAAGCCCCACGCCGGCTGCCGCCGTGCCCCGTGTGACACCCCAAATTCCTCCTGCCCCCTCACACCTGCCCTGACCCCCAGTTCCTCCTGCCCTCAGAGCTGCCCTGACCCCAGTGCCGCCCCACCCTCTGCCCCCTCAGAGCTGCCCTGACCCCCAGTGCCCCCCGCCCTCTGCCCCCTCAGAGCTGCCCTGACCCCCAGTTCCTCCTGCCCTCAGAGCTGCCCTGACCCCCAGTGCTGCCCTACCCTCTGCCCCCTCAGAGCTGCCCTGACCCCCAGTGCTGCCCTACCCTCTGCCCCCTCACACCTGCCCTGACCCGCAGGTCCTCATGACGGCCAAGCCCCACGCCGGCTGCTGCCATGCCCCGTGTGACACCCCCAGTTCCTCCTGCCCTCAGAGCTGCCCTGACCCCCAGTGCCCCCCGCCCCGCCCTCTGCCCCCTCAGGCCCCACCCCACTCAAACCACGCCCCCTCTGACCCCCCCCCCCCCCCCCCCCCCCCCGCAAGTCTCGCGAGACGCGGCGCGGTTTCCCCAGCGCGTGTGCCCCCATCGGCCGGGCCGGGCCCAGCGCCGCGGGGCGGGAGGGACGAGGGGCCGCACCTGCCCCGGCCCCACCGCGCCCGCCGGCCCCTGGCACCCCCCGCCCCTCCCGCCCGTCCCACCTGGCCGCCGGGTCCTCCCGCCAGGCCTTTGTCCTGCCGCAGCCGGCCCGCGCGCGCTCCGGCCCGGCTAGGCCCCTCACGCGAGGCCGGGGATCCGCGGCCTACCCCCAGCCCGGAGCCCGCTCTCTCCACCCCCCGCCACCCTTCCCCTCCGCCCTTCTCAGCCCCGGTGCCTGCGGCGGAGGCCGCGGAGCCGCCCCCGGCCTCCTCTTCCCGCCCGTGCGGCCGCCGCTGCAGCAGGTTCCCTCCCTCCCTCCTCCTCCTCCTCCTCCTCCTCCTCCTCCTTCTCCTCCTGCTGCTGCTGCTCCTGCCCCCGGCGGCGGCGGGATCCTCGCGGTGCCTGGGGAGCGCTGGGCCGGGCGGCGGTGGCAGGAGCGGCAGCGCCAGGTGAGACCCCCGGGGCGGCGGGGGCAGCGTAGGGACGCCTCGCCTCGTCCCCGCCCGGCCCGAGAGTGGGTGGGGGCGGCCACGGGGAAGGCGGTGGCGGGGCTGGTACCGCGGGCCGGCCCGGGTCACGGTGGGAGGGCCGCGGCCTGAGAGCCAGGGCGGCGGCAGCGCGGCCTGGGCCCCTCGCCGGGCACGGAGCAGCGCAGGCCCCGCGGCCCGGCCCGGCCCGGCCCGGCCCGGCCTGGCGGGCGGGGGTGAGAGCTGGGGGCGGCGGAGGGTGGGCATGGCCTGCGAAGCCTCGGGATGAGGGCTGAGGCGGTGCTGGGAGGGGAGGAGGAGGAGGAGGAGGCCGAGGCGGTGAAGCAGCTGGCAGCGGGGCAAGGCTGCTCGCTCGGCGGCTGGTGCCTCTGCGTCCCGAGTGGGTAGGAGAGGGGTGCTGGAAATCCACTCCCGGGAGGAAATGCCAGCCCTGCCTGGAGGGGTGCAACTGGTCCTGGAGCAGTCCCCGGCGGGGGGAACTTGTGTCAGCCCCTTCCCCAGAGCAGCATCCCGGTGTGGGGATGCGATTCCCTGCGGATGGTCGCCTCATGATGGACGAGAGCTCTGAGAGCACTTGAACATCTTGGCGTTTGCGGCTTGTCTCTCATTTTCATCGTTGTTCAGATTTCCTGTTTTGAAAACTGGGCTGAGCACTTTGTTGGGCTTTTAGAGCCCATGGCAGAAATAGGTTGTTTAATAACGACGTTTAGGATCCCATTAGTTTTTGACGCTTGGGACTGATCTGGGAGAGCAGTTGAGAATGCCCCTGGATGGATTCACTTTGCCCCTGTGACTTGGAGCAGCAGCGTTTGGAGGAAGCGGCAGGGACAAAATGGACAGTTCATAAAAGGAACAATTGTGCACTGCCCGTTCTAGAGGGCACTTGCTGCCCTTCAAGAACTTTCCTCATTGCATATGCTCTTTACACAGCAAATCTTTATCTTCTGTTTCTGGCCTTTTTTTTTTCTACCTTAGTCCAGAAAATGAAACTGGAACAGACATTTCTGGAAATAAACTTGATTGGTGCAGTTGGGAAGATGTGATTCAGTTATAATGAACAGTGAATTTTGTCCCATTTTTTCTCAGTTCAGGATTTGAATTACGTATTTCCTGATTTTTAACCTGTTTACATAGTTATGCAGGGTAGATTTTTAACCCTGCAAATAAAGCATTTGTAGTGTTGGATTGCCAAGAGGTACCCCAGGTACATCCAGGGTTTAAAAGCTGCTGTTATTTTAGAAGTATCTGATGCTTTACCTTGTAAATCAAAAGGTTTAATTGTGCATTATTTCTTCTTATAATCCCACTCTGTGCTTGGAAGAAGCAAAGCTGTTAGCAGTGAAATCTGGAGTTCGTGGAGCTCGAGTATTTCCAGGATTGGCCAAAAATAAATTATGGGGTAAAGAATGTTGCTTTTTTTTCTTCTAGTCATGCAGCATGGATGAAAAGCTCTGAAGCTTTTAGTGATAACACTCTGGTCCCATGTTTTCGTTTTCATAAAGCATCCAATGGGAGAATGTGACATAATTGGTTTCTTGGATTTAGAGATCTTGAAATGGCTGGTACAGTAGAGGAGAGGAAACTCCAGCATGGTTAAGGTTTAAATACTATAATATGGTGGCAAAGTCATGTTGTTACTACATGGTAATCTTGCATTTCTCTTGCAAAAAAATGCTCTCTGCACGGTTGTGCTGCAGAGCAGGCACTTTTAAGTCTCATCAGTGGCACGGAATATTAAATGTCTCTCTCCTTTCCTTGCATTGCATAATCTGAGTGTTATTCTTCCATAGCAGCAGAAATGATGGAAGAATTGCATAGCCTGGACCCACGCAGGCAGGAGCTCCTGGAGGCCAGGTTCACTGGGGTTGGGGTTGCCAAGGTGAGTGTGAGTACCTGAGGTGACAGGTATGACTGCTTAGCCATCATGCCTTGTGCTTTGGTTGGGTTTTTGAGTTTCTACATGGATAATTTTTCTTTGCAAACAAATTCTGTGTCACTTGTTGTGTTTTGAGCTCTAATTTGTGTGAAGTGTGTTAGAGGGGAATGAAAATGGGATGTCTGAGCAGATGTTTTGCTGTACAAAAGATTTTGGGCTCTAATTAAGTTCTTAGGAATTGTTCCATCTTAAGGCAGTTTGTATGCCCAAAAAACTCCATGACAACATTGTAGAAGTGGGAATCTCATCTGGGTCTTCCTTTCTCCAAGAATACCTTTGAGAGCTGAATTTGGCTGCTGATGGGATACAGTTTCAAGTGTTGTGTGTTGGATACAGCATAACCATACTGAAACATAACCATTGAGTCCTATTTGGGGTTCAGGAGCTAATATTGTCTACCCCTTCACATGGAACGCACAAAAAAAGTATTTGCATGGCGGCACTCCTGTGTCTGATCCACAGTCTGCCAACAAAATCCCATATTTATCCTCATGTACAGCTTCCACTTGGTCAGGGGCTATCTAAAGCAAAGCACCTGAGAAACAACTTTGTGTCATTGCTTGGTGTTGTGGCTGTGAGTTCTCAAGGTTGCTGGTAGTGTTAATGTCAGTCTTTCTGAGCAATGAAGTGGAGTGGTGACAGAACTCATTTTAAACTAGGTCAGGGATAATGAGTTAATTTTTGAGGGAGATACTGAATTTTGAACATGAAGGTAAAGCAATACATTGTTAGATGATTTGCTAAAGCCACTTAGAATTATTTTGAGATAAAACCTTGTAGATGCTGCATCTTTTGCAGAAAAACACAAAGTGATTCAAAACTTGAAAGAGTTTTGTTTGAATTCTCACTTTTCTTTCTGCTCTGCCTCTCAGACGAAGTTGAGTCTGGGAAGAAAGCACAAGGAAACCAAATGCTCAGCTGTAAAAAAGATAAACAATAGAAGTTGAAGTAACAATTTCAGTTGCTGAAGTATGAGTGTGGGGATTTTTTATCTTTTCCCCTACTCTTAAAACTTTTAACATATTCTTTTTATTGCATGAAAGTTGATGGCATTTACTGTACTGTAATCTTGTTTCATACAACATTACAACTTTTCATGTACTTTATCACCTGTTTCTTGCCTCCTTTCCTCCTTTTTGTCGCTTCAGAATCTTCAGCTGTACCAGTACAGATAAACCCAAACATCTTACTAGAACAGCTAAAAGCATAGACACTGGTATAGCTTTAAAGCAGTGCCAATGTACTCAGCTTTCACGAAGAATGTTAGGAACTCTTCCTTTTAAAGGAATAACCTTTGAGAGATACAGGAAAACAAATCTTAATTATGTTTCCAGTATGTTTGGAGCAGAAAGTTCATGCCCTTTTCTGTAGGGGTGAATATTGAAAACTCATTTCTAAAGCAATGCAGGGAAAAAAGCCTCATTTGTTGGAGGCCTCACTTTGAGCAAAGCTGTTCTGTTACTGAGTTTTATTTTTACCTGTTGTTATGCGGTTTTATGTTGTACTAGCCAGTAAACTGTTAAAGTGCATTACACTTACTGCAAACAATATGTATTTACTTGCATTCTTGCTAACTTGCAGTAGCAGCCAACCATTGATATAAATTAGCATGACTCTGCTATGTTGCAGCAAATCTTGGTTGCAATATTAATTTCAGCTACTACATTCCCTCCCAGGTTGGTGCTTCAAATTCCCTCCCTACCCCCCCAAGCCTCCGTCCGTCATGCTCCGCACTGGCATTGGTAGGTCACTGTCTTAAAGGGAATATATTGGGAAAGCTGTGATACAATTTTGTGTTATTCAGCTAGAATTTTTAGCTGGTTCCAATGAAATGTTTAAGCAAAGAGCCGTGGAGTAAGTGAGTGCCATCTAGTGGGACAGGGCCTGACCCATCCTCCTGGGATGGAAGGTATCCGGTGCTGTTTACTGCATAAAAAGAAGAAATGTCATTTCAGATGTGATTGGGTGAAGCCAGCAGACAGTTGTACTGAGCTTCCTGCCTTCCTCCCATTTGGTGTATCTTGCTGTGTATGGATTCTTTCTTTAATGTTTAGAAGCACAGGGTATATTTTGGACCTGTATAAAATTAAAGCATTCATTTATACCTTAATACAACTTCAGCTTCAAGCCCACAGTTCCCCTGTGTTGTTAAAGAGCAGCTGTGTTTTGAGGTATGAATGAGAGCAGGCTGATGTAGAACAAGTTTTCAGGCTGGAAACTAGAAAAAAGCTTCTAGCCATCAGATTCATGGAATTCTGGAAGAACTTTCCAGTAACAACAGCAGAGGACATAAATCCTAAACTGTTTTGGAAACAGTTAGGTGTGCTTGTCACCTCCTGTGGTAGCTGAAGGCACAACCCAATGACCAAGGTGATTTGCAGCTCCGAAAGCCTCAAAATTCTGTTGCAAGTCTCTGAAGAAGTTTCTTACTTAGTAGCTGAAGAATGTATTTCACTAGAAGCTTGGAGTTAATTCATTGAATCAAATTTATGAGCAAGGAATATTTCTAGGCAACTGTTATACTCCTGTGCTTCACCCATGTCACTAGATAGCTTCATAAAGCTGGTGATGCTTTAGATGTCTATTCTTGCCATATGGTGAAGTGCTATTCTTCCCCAAATTCCCAGAACAAGTCCCTGAATTAACGCATGACACTCTGACATTGACTGTTCCTGCTAATTTAGCCTGTTTATATTTACATATTGGGAAAACCTAAGTGTATTCCCATGAGGCATTATGCTGACTAGACATCTTCCTTGGGTCAGGAGGCCCAGGAGACAAAATGTGGGTTGTTTCTCTAGATAATATTGTTTCATTTAGTCTGTTCTCATCTTCTGCCTCCCTTCCTCCTATTTGGGTGCTGCCTTTAAGATATCAAGTGGGTTAACTTGAAGGGATTTGTGTCATTTCCACAGACTTTTCCTGGATAATAATTTGAGTAAGTAATTGTGATGGGTGAACCTATATTTGTACGCAGCCTGTCTCAGGCTTAACCACAGTGGATCCTCACAGCAGCACATGTATCTTCTACAAGTTTGGTTTTCAAAAGATGTCTCTACCAAGCTCTGTGTGCTGCTTCTATAGTTAAACTAAAATGGCTGAAGTACTTCTAGGGAGTGTAGCTGGGCTGTAGGAATCTTGTAGATCCATCTGACTGTGCCAGAAATTAAAAATTCTTGGTCTTGGTAGCTAGTGTTCCCTTTCCTCCTGCTCTTGAGGTAATGATACAGGATATATGCTGCCAAAAAAATTGATCATAAAGAACAGTATTTGCTTGTATTACTTTGGTTTTTACTCATTCTCTGTAACTTTTGAAGTCTCGATCACTTCAGCAACTCCAGTTTTGTGATGTACTCAGCAATAAGTTTTAGCAGCAAAGTTACCATGTTGAGAATTTGTGTTTGAGGATAATCATGTCTTCCTTGGAGGGAAGTGGTGCTGCACAGTGGTGGTCCCCAACAGGTGTCATAGTCCATGAGAAGAACCAGTTCATAAGTGTTTTAAAACTTAGAATTGAATTTTGCAGCTGCCACAGAATGTGCCAGGACTTTATGCCAGATACTTTAAAATTGTTTGGATGCTTCTGTGTGCAACATTACTTCAAATGTGTTGTCTGGCTGCAAGAGCCCAGAAATAGTTGTCAAATCTCAAATAATTGTCAAACCCTCTGCTCCTAAGCTGAGGGTTAGGATGAGTTGCGTGACCCTTCTGTCCAGTTTGCTGTCAGTAAAATAAAAATGCCATATTTCCAATCAGAGAGAACTCTCGAAGCATAATGGAAGCCAGGCAAATCCTGCTGCAAATCTGCTTGCCCATCTGATAAAGTGGGGGTTACCTGTGAACATCTGAGAGTAGATTAACTTCTCGTGGCAGAAAGACCTCAGTGATTCAGGGATTTCATTATCGTCAGCAATACTGAGCTTTTCTAAAAGTCCAGTTAAGAAGCAGGTTGTAATTCTCATACTTACGTGATGCTTGAAATAAGATAATAATATGTTAATCAAAGCTGACACAGTAGCACTAGACCAGAGTAACTGTAAAACCATGTGACCACTTTACTTTGGTGTAAACCTGAGAGAAGCCAGCACTAACCTTTAGTGGAACAAAGGATTGACTATTTGCCTTTGAAATCCATTGATCTGCTACAGAATTCAGAGGAAATTGGGTTATCCTGGCTTGAGGTAATGTAGCATGTCTATCTCCATGTCTCCTTCATTTACACAGCAAGAGAATTTTGCAGTGCATGTTGCTGTAAGGCTGTGTTGGAGACTCTGGCTAGGCAGCTGGAGTTCCTAGAGCTCCCTTTCAGTACGAGGAATTGGAAAGCACAAAATGGAGACTGCTCAGCTTGAGTTGTAGAGTGATGGATCATTTCTGGGAACTCAGGGAGACTGTGGAAATGCACAAGTCATGGGAGGCAGGAGATGGTAAGGGGGGCTGAGTCAGCTTGGTGGTGTTCTAGATGATCTGGTGGGAGCTATTAGCAGCATAAGTTGTTTCTTTAGAAGTCTCAGCCATTGAAGCCTCACTGTGAGCTTTCCAGGGTCTCTGGCAAAGGGAGAAATGACTAACCAGCTCCTGTGAGTGGCCAGATTTTAAATTCTTGCCTCTTGAGTAGGAATCTTCAAAGTGCCTGCTGCTGTTGAATCCAATTCTCAACATGGAGGCTTTATTGTGCATGGGTAGGTCGCAGACTTTGAAGCAGCAGTTGATAGGTGAATCACAAGGGGAGAAAGCATGCCAGCTTATCTTGGAGAGAAATTCCTTGTGGAGGAGGAAGTGTGTACTGTTCTTCTGCTTGTCATTTGGGTAAATACTATAGGAACTATTAGCTTGTTTCAGATGACCCACGTATTTTGAATTTTTGCTGAGCCCCATCACCAATTGCCTTGACAGGGCACAGTGGATGAGTGGGCTGGAAGTGAGAGTAGAGAAGTGCAGTATTATCCCTAATCAGTCTATGCTAGAAAAATCAGGAATAAAATTCATAAGTCTTTTCTGTATAAAGTATTGCATGTTTTTTATGCACTAATACTACCCTGCTACTTCCCTGGCAATATCCTCTTGTTAATGTTCTTTGTTTACTTCAGTTTTTTTCCAAAATTCACATTCATTCCTTTAATTCCATTTGTGTCATGTCCACTTAAAAATGGTATGCTAAATTAAGTACTAACATTTATCCCAAGTCGGTTGCTGAGTTAAACAGTCAAAAATGATAAAATAGAAATTTGAAGCATTTTTTATAGACACACTAACTGACTGTTAGCTGAATGGATGTACTCGGAAATATGGTTTCTCTCATCCATACCTAAACTTGCTGCTATAAGCAGTCGATACCTAATTTCACGCATAACCCCATGTTATCTGGATAATCAGGAAAATTTGCTTTTCCTTTCTCTTGACACTACATGACAAGAGGTGCAGCTGAGCACCACGAGGTCATGTTCCTGAAACATCTTGGGTATTGCATCTTTTTTGCTTTGAGTACAGCACGTTCTAGTGAACAATTTGTGTTTCCATAGCTGAAATGCTTCAAAACAAGACTTTTTGCCAACTTTGCCAAGTTCAGCTCTTGTCTGTAAAGGTCTTATCCTTTAGAGTAAGAAAAGTGTCAATGGAAGGTCCTCTTAAATGTAACCAGGGGAAAGGGAATGTGATGTATTTGATCCATTGCATGGTCAAAAACATGTCTACAAAGAATTAATTATGCATTTGTTCACAGATCAATACATGTGACAGTGAAATTGTTGGATACCTGTAGACAATGACAATCTGTTCTGTTCCAGTTCCATAATGAAGTTGGTTCCTTCTCACCCTTTCTACTACTGCACTGAGTTGAATTTTACCACATCATCAGTGTAGGTTCTAGAGGAAGGTTTAAAATAAAGGAGGGAAAAAAGGTTTTTTTTCTGTTCAAGAATCTGACCAGCACTGAACTTCTCTTTCATTGATGCAAGACACTGTTTTGATTCCAGCTGGTAGAGCTAGAAATTTGCCACGCAGGGTAGTCAGTGCAAGTACTTCTAGTCCTAGAAGTAACAAGAATATTGTGGATTTTGTGTGAGGCATTTTTCCAGCTGTTTGCATCCCAGAACTTTATATTCAGGTGCAAACTGAGTGGTTTTCTTGTACTGGACAAGATAAACTTGTATTTCTACAAAAAGTGTTAGTATAATTTCTAGCTATGTGTGGCCCCATCAGTTTATTCTCTAGGTGATCCCAGAATACAGGGGCCTTACAGAAGAATTGTCCTGTGTAAGCCACTGATATTCCCCTTCAGTCATAATGTGAATGGAAAGTTCAAATGTGGTGTTTCTGAAGCAGCTGCTCCCGTCATTTGCTATCCATCTGCAAAATGGACGCAGTGAGATTTAAGAAAATGTGGAAACAACTTTCACTTTCATCTTTATCATGTCACAACCCCAGTGTGAGCCCAGAAACACTTGTTTGGAGAGATGCTCCTGTATCTTACAAAGTTCTCACCTGGCACAGGAAGTTGGTTAATTGGTGCCTCGGATGTGCTGTTGAAGTTGGAGTTCCTGAGAGAATGGAAAGATTTTGGAGAGCAGCATTTGTGCAATTTATAAACAAGTTTTTTCATGGGTGAAAAGATTCACTTTCTGTTGCCACTTGCCATAAGATTTTACAATTTTTTTGGCAGTGAGACTTTCACATGGATGTAGCTAAGGTTAGTGTTGGCACTTCTGTTAAGTCTTCTTGGCCCAGGAGTCAATTCCTGGAATAACCAAGAGTTGTACCTATAACATTTGTGAGCCGTCACATTGGGTGGTAAGGAGGTTGTTGCTTTGTTTAAAAGAAAATATTGCTGGAAAGATGAGGTGAAACATTTTTTCTGGTCCTGGGCTATTTGTGTGATCCCTTGAAGGCATAATAGTATGGCTTAAAGAATGTAAACCTGAAAATTTTCCTTAAGGGAATCCTAAATGTGCAATTTCTTGAGCTATTCAGGTGTGGGGTTTTCTTTCTTTTTTTTATTTTTGGTGAATCAACTGAGCATGTCATTTTAAGAGAACTGAATTTGATATTTAACACTCACAGTGAACACAGAAGGTAAACTTTTCAGCACATGGCTGCTTGGGAATTTTGGTTAGTAATAGCTAGGTTATGTTGCAATTTCATAGCGGTGTTTGTCCCTTAAACAGGGGAGGGAGAACTAATCTATTCAAAAATTACCTAGTTTGGGGTTTCTCTGTGGTGTTAAGGCTTCTTCCCCACTCCATCACTGGAGTCTTCTGCTCAAGTGTATAATGAGAAGTGGCTTTGCTTTGTGGAAAGATTGATTGGTGGAAAGTGGTTACTGCAAAGTTAAAAATATTATAATGCATCTCGCGGAAAAGATGCTTGCAAGTTATTAGTGGAGAACTGGTTTTATCATGTCATTCTTCCTGTTAATACATTCCATCATTAATTGTGAATCTTGTTTTTACATCTTTGTCAAATTTGTCTAATTTCTTAAGTTAGACCTGTAGGAGGATACTTTTGTGTCAGTATAAAACACAGTGACTTTGCATGATTCACTTTTTCCTTTTAAAACCAGTTTTGTTAGAAATCTTAAATCATTTCCAAACTACTTGGACATGTAAAAATGCAGATGTGTATCCAGCAGAGCCTGCAAAGATGCAGCAGACTCTTGAGGTACCTGGTTACAATTTTGTTAAATCTTTTGTGATCTCTTGAGTTTCTGCTTTGGCCTGGTGGGAGCAGCTGCTCTGCAGGCAGGTTCATGCTCTGCATGGGTCCATAAAATAGCCAAGTGGGAAAGGTTGTGTTATGGGTATCAGTTATACTGCTGTTAACACAAGTTTCACTTGTTCACTTTCCTAGTGTTGAAAAAGCATAAAATGACATGTTTAAATCAATGGTACAGCCAGCATCTGATGACAGTAATAGCTAGCTTGCTAGATGAAGATGCGTCTAAATGCTTAGCTGAGGGTCAAGCAGATGCTTGCCTAGACAGCTGAGCTTGGAACTTCTGCTACTCAACAAATCAGGTTTTCTTCCTCAAGTGTCAGGCTTCTATAAATGCCACCTTGGCTATTTTGTGGATGTGGGTAAATAGACCAGTTAGGAAATAAGCTGATGCAGAAATACTCCAAAGGCTAGATCATTATCCTGAGAAAAAATTGTTGAACAATCCAACTGTCCTGCTGCAAATGGCTTCTGAAGGCTCTTAGTGCCCCATCCCCTCTCTGGGAGTTTGACCCATGGTGCTGCCATAACTGTAGCTAGCCCAGAGATGGAGTGGTTTTTAGGATGGGTCTGCCTTGTAGGGAAGTTGTTTCTAACAGTCTTTGCTTGCTTTTCACTAGGGTCCGTTAAATAGTGAGTCTTCCAACCAGAGCTTGTGCAGCGTGGGCTCTCTGAGTGATAAAGAATTGGAGGTAAGCAGGCACAACTGCTTGGGGTAGTTTGGTTTAAGGTGAACATGAGCCATCTCAAAGCATCAAAGAAACTGTGAGAGTCAGTGGCGTTTGTCATAGTTTGGAAAGTGAAAGGGACCAGGGAAGTATTTAGCTTGACCCTGCAGGCTTTCACATTCTCTGTGAAGCTCTTCCTCGAAGCTTCCCACCATTCCAGGAAGGTTTTACCCAGTCCCAAACAAAGCATTCATAAAACTCAGCTTGGGAAAATGTTTTCAGCTCATTGGGATACATTTTTGGATACACATAAAAAGCCAGAGAGCATTAATGGAAAAGTTTGCCATATCTATCAAAAATGTGAGTTTGCCTAAGCCTGTACAAGGCAGAGCATTTTGTGGGTTACTCTGTGGAAGTGTCGGAGGAGAAAATTGATGCTTTGTCCGTGGTTAGTCTCACTTCTTTAGGATTAACTATTTTAAAATGTTCATTAAAGCAGCTAAATTAATTGTAGTTGGATTTTTATTCTAAAATCTAATCTAATTTTATTCTAAAATTCTATGTTAAATAAACAAAAACCTCAAATTTAAGTGCATTTTCTTATGCATTTCTTACAAACTTCCCCCATAGTTACCAGGTAAGTTTTGGGTCACATTTCCCTCTATTATATGGCAGTACTAGTATGAGGGGCTTTTAGGAATGCAGTATCTTAGACTCCATAAAGCAAGTGTAGTTAATAGTGAAAATATGAGTATTCATTCTTTTAATTGTTTTTCTTTTTAATGAACTTCTGTGGAGAGATACAAATTGACCAAGCTGACATACTCAGATCTCCCATTCCTTGCTTTTTCAGTCTGTAACAGATAATGTTGTGTGTCATTTTTATTATGTAAGTACTTGAATGGAAAAACAACTTAAACTGATTCTCTCTCTGTGAGTGCTCAGCTGGTAACAGGCGGTAGTAGATGTCCAGCACCCACTGGCAACACAGCCAGGTTTAGATTCAACTTTATCCTTTTTATCCTACTAAAGGAGGGAGGTTTATTTCTGTGCTTAGAATGTGTAAGTCTTGGTAGAGATGTTTAAAGAGGGTACTTGAGATATGGGTTTCCAAAGAGCATGAAACGTAGGTTTACCACAGGCTCTCTGGCCATTTCTTTCCCTCTAGAGCTGTGTTTTGCACAGTGTTTTTCTCCCCACCCCCAGCCTATGGTTTAGTGGTGGCTGCAGTGATTGGAGAACATACAGCTTGGGAATTATTTGGGGAAATTTGGGATAAGAGATATTTTTTAAATGACAGTGGCAATGGGAATGACAAGACATCTCTTTCTAGCAACCTCAGTGAGCTGCTTCCAGCAGTGCTTCCCAATGTCTTCAGCAGGTTTGGCCACAGATATGACCCTGATGATGGGGAAAGCACTAGGGTCTCCTCCATCATTCTCATGTTTAGGCTTGCTAGCCTTATACAGACAGATAGGTGTGACACTTTTGGAGCCCTCAGGCCTGTCAACTGTGCTCTATGTTGTGCCTGTGCATAAATAAATTGATTTTCATAAATCCACTGATAGCTGTCCGTCAGGTCTCTGGGTGCTCACAGAATTGCACATGCAACTAACCCATGACTCTCATGAGAGCTGTTGAGGAGAAGCAGAAGCCTAGGTGAATTGCTGCATCTGTAACAGCTTTGTCCTGCCTGCTGTCCTGGGATAGTTCTTGCAGCCATCTGCAGTGGGCTTTGAGAAGAAGCATTGCCTGCAGGCAGAGTGAATTGGTTAAGAGACTGTGAATGGACTGCAGATTTGGATGTCTGTACTTAAACCTGTCATCATTATTCCCCTTGGACCAGTACTATGTTCACCTTGAAGGGGTTTACATAGGTGTTTATAAATGTTTGAGCTTGCTCTGCTAACCTTGTAAGGTCACTGGCTTGCAGCAGCTGAAATAGAAAAAATAAATTACCTCCTTGTTAACCACATTCTCTCCCTTCTGCAGCACATCTATGAGAAGGTTGCAAATCTTTGAGAACAGTTGTTTCTTTAAGTACCAACAATAGAAAGAAATTAACCAGAGAAATTAAATGGCCACTGGGGATATGGAACAGATCATTGTATGTAGACATTTTCTTTAAATCTTGGAGTAACTGCAGTAACGTTAATTTTGGAAGTATTGTTTAACAGACTCCTGAGAAAAAGCAGAATGACCAGCGGAATAGGAAGAGAAAAGCAGAAGCCTACGAGACCAGTCAAGGTAATCCATGCTCTGACCCTGCCATAGGATTGCCACTTGCTTGGTAACTTGGGCACAATGTGCACAGGCAGTGTCCTAGGAAACTAATGGCTCTTCTCAAGGGTGTGTCAGGCAGCTTATTATAAACTACTCCATGATGGTGTATTCTCTTCTGGGAGCCTAGTTATCTTGATTGGTAGGAAAATTCCTGGCTTATTTGCACAAACTCTTGCATTTTTATGGGACATAAAAATGTCCAGAGGTTTCATATTCTGCTCTGAAGTGTTGTTTTGGTCCTGTGTCGCTACATATACAGCAGCCAGCCTTCAGAATACAGCCTGTACTCTCTTCATTGCTTTCCAAGACACATGCCTGCCTTGTTGGAGCAAGTTCTTACCATGACAAATCAGGAGCAAGCTGTGCCCAAGCAGGCAGTGCTGTCCTGAGTAGAAAACCCGGTGTGTTCAATCCAAGTTCACATTTTCTAGGAAATGGGCAGAGGGGCAGATTTTGAGTTCTTTCATTCTTCAACAAGACAGTAATGAGAATTGTGTTGACAGAACTGCTTTGATAATATAATAAGAAAAAGGGACTAGTTTTTAATGAGCTGATGTTAAGCGACTGCTAATTATCTCTCAAATTCTTACAGGAATGCTTGTGAGAGATCTAATATGCAGTAATTTATCTGAAGGCAGAGGAGTAAAAGTACCCTTTGCCCTCTCCTTATCTTGTAGGAAAGTTTGGAGAACCTATGCAACAGTCAAGACCTTTAGTGTTTTCTAAGTACTTTAGCAAGTGCAAATGCTGTTTGATTGGATCTGACATATTTGGAATTGAGAGTTAATTGAATTATCAACTGTAGAGCCTCCCAAAAACAGCACAAGGGCTGTAACCCTGGGGTGGGCTTTTGTTGTGCGGAAGCTTTGTTGTGATAGGTGTTGCACTGAACAGGAAAAAGAGTGTCAAAACGTAGCAGGAGATTTTTAGGATGGCATGGTAACTTCTCTTCTTTAAAGTACAGCTCTTACTTTTATCCTTTGCTTTCTTTTTTAGGGAAAGGCACTCCTAGAGGGCATAAAATTAGTGATTATTTTGAGGTAAGCATCTTTTCATTGACAAATCTGCCTTAATTCACATTTTGCAAGATCTGTGGATAGAAATTTGTAATGTGACATGTATTACTGATCTGTCATTGAGATCATGGATTGATGATGTCAACCTGATATGTTCAGATCTGGTTAGCAAAGGATATGAGGAAATTTATTTTTAAATTAAACATTTAGTTGAACAGTTGATAGGGCATTTTTTTCACTTAAGTATAGGTTTGAGGTTAATTTCCAATGGAACCTGTATCTCAGTTGAGGATATCTCTAGGTTTGCAAACAGTTTTGATAAAGATCCAGTGTTGCAAAAGAGCCCACCTGCACAATCCTGCTGATTGGAGTGGGAAGTTGTTTACAGGGTTCTCTCTTAAGAAAAACTTCCCATGGTGGTCTGGCACCATAGGGGCCAAACCTCTCCCCAAAACCATGATGGACATTCTAAATTCAGTATCCTTTTTTGCACTGCATAATATCTGAAGTTTTTCTGTGTGCACAATCCAGAGCTGTAGCTTTTCTCTTAAGTTTGTTCTCTATTTTATGGAATAACTTGGAGCCAGAAATTAAGTGCTTATTAGTGCTTACTTCTTTCCTGGGCAAATTTTTTTATGAGCAGTACACTGTAGGGGTTTCTGTACGAATGGAGCAGTTCCCCGCCTCCTTACCTGTCCTTCCTCTTAACAATGACTAGCACAGGTGCTTCAGTGGAGATGAACATTCTCTATCACTCTTATAGTGCACATCAGATACTTCTCACAGGGAATGGGGTTTCTAATTCCAGAGAGTAAATAACTGATATGCGGCCAAGTATGCAGGTTTATATATTTTTGTATTACAAAGAAAAATGTACTCGGTGCAAATACAAGTTTTTGCCTTAGGTACTTCTGTTATTTTGAAAACTACATTAACTGTTAAGGTTCTTCTCTTAATTTATGTTCAGTTTATGTAAATCATTCCCTGAAGCCTATATGGCTTCATTTTTAAGGTGAATGTGTTTCTTCTGTCTGTGTTTAAATTTGGTTAAATGTAGTATCTCTGTGGAATTCCTGATGATCAAGTCTATTTGTGTGCCCAGTTTGCTGGGGGCAGTGGCCCAGGAACCAGTCCCGGTAGAAGCGTGCCACCCGTCGCCAGATCCTCTCCGCAGCATTCCCTGTCCAACCCCTTGCCGGTGAGTGTTCTTGGGGACACGGCTGGTGGCCTGGCATCGGTTAACTTGGTGGCCGTGTTTCAGACAGGTAATACAGTTCTGGACAGGGAAGTGTCTCTTGGTGAGTCATTTGGTTTGTTCTCCATTTTAAAGCTGAAACTGGGTTCTGAGAGCAAAGCCATGTCTAGGACCCTGAGACAGTGACTAGTGCAGCTGTAGCTGTCATGAATATCTGAACTTAAATTAAGTTATGAATGTTTCTAATGTGCTGTGTGAGTACAGAGGGATGCCGGTCCTTTATAAAGGTGGAACTGACCTGTTAGTTACCCTTCATTCTATTGTAGCACATGAACTTCTCCATGGAGTTGGGAGTATATTGTGTGTTTGTGCAGTACTAATCAGGATTATTCTGATCTTGATTGGACCCCTTGGGTATCTTGAACAATGTGCCCACCATAATTATTTTGGGAAGGCCTTTTACTTCTGTTTGTGTGCACATGACTTGTAAGGGGCATTAGCAAAAGCTTCCAGAGAAATATGTGTATGTGCCCAGCTGGTGCTGGGTTTTAGCATGTAATTCCACTTGATTTGCAGCATTTCTGAGGTCTGGATGTGAAGGAAGTAACCAGTGTTTTTATACCATTTTAGGACAGAGCAGCTAAAAAAATTTGTTACAACTAGCAAAGCAGTATTCAGAGGCTCTGTTGCCTGGGCTTCAGTATTGACCATTGGCTGAGCCCGTCTTTAAAAATTTTCAGCATTTGTTGAGTGTCACAAAAGACTGGAGACATTGTGGGAAAGATCAGTATTCCCAAAGCCAAATGCAGAGTCTTTAGTGTTTACATTATTCTGCAGAGACCTTTGCACAGTTCCTGAATGTACTGAACTAAACCCCAACTCTAAACACTGCTCAAAATTCCCTGTGTTCATAGATTTCAGAAGCTTTGTAATGCTGCTTGAAGGGAGAGCTTCACATACACTTCCAGATACTTTTTAGTGTTTCTAAAAATTAAAATACATCTTATTAATTGAATGGATTTTCATTATATCATGTATTAATTCACTAATACATCTCTTTAAAGAGAAGTTAACGAAGAAATAGCATCTCTGAATAGTGCAGATGTGTGAGGGATTAGGGACAATTCTTTATTCCGGAAGATTAGATAACCCACAATGGCACAGGTGGATTCTTCCTTTGATTTTCTTCTGTGCTTGTATATGTGGAGTAGGTAAAAGTTGAACAGTGTGTTTCTGATGAATATTGATGTCGCAGTTAGTTTCAGCCAGACCAGTTTGTCTCTCTCCTTACACAGGTGCTTATCTTCTGTTCTTTGCTCTTGCAGCTAAACCTGTGATGTTTACTTATTCATAACAAACTATTCTGGCCTTTGCAAGATCTGTCTTCTCCTTACAAATGGAATGTCAATGGTTTGATCTAATCCCCAAAAAAATGGGGGGATAAGTGAAAATTGGAGGACACTGTCTTACCCATTACAGGTGTTAGTAATGATCTTGGAAGGAAGCAGAGTGTTAAAATGTCTTTCACATGATACATGAAACCTCCTTCAGATCTGAATTTATCTGTACTGTACTGGAAAATGCTGCAATCAGAACTTGCAGAGGAATTGTAATGGCCTTAGGATGTGACTACTTCTCTTCAAACCTCTTGGCTGATTTGAATTGCCTCACTACTCATTTGATTAGAATGATCTGCAGGTCTTGAGGCTCTTGCAAAGGCTGCTCTCAGGCACAAGCATTCTTTTGGGGAAGGAAGTACACTCTTGGAATTGGTAATGTTAACCAGAAAACAGGTTGCAATTTACATTTTTAAGAAAAAATGAAGCCTGACCTGACTGTTTGCTTTCTTGGAGGCATTTGCCTGGCCTGGAGTTACAGCTTGGAAGGACTTGCATGATTATTACCCAGATTGCCAAGTTTTAGCAGTGATAGTGTGGCTATGGAAGCCAGGGCATTGAGATGCCATGCGCTGTAATCAGTGTAGGTCAGATGATTCTTCTTGTTAAACTCAGTTCCTCTACCACAGTTGGAAAACTAATCTACTACAGGAGAAAGGAGCTGGCCCTTAAGAGATGTAATGGACCTTTAAAGGATTTTGGGAATTAATAAGTACTTGGCTTACTTTGCAGGAGATGGGCCCCGGCTGTACTGATAGAAGTGAGCGTACCCTGATGTCTGGTTCCTAGACATGTTTAGGTTGCTGCCATGTAGCGCTTCTGACTCAGTTTACTTTACCAGAATAGCAACATATCATGAAATTGGCTGTTTGAAAATGAGTCCTTAAGAAACATTAAAAAATATAATTGTGAATGCTTTGAGCAAAGTCCCAATGTAGATTTTTGGATCTGCAATCTATTTTGCTCCACTGACTCTGAAGCACATGTATTTGCAAATTAAGAGGATGTGTTAACTGACAAGGAAATTTGTCCTGTGTGTTCATTTGCTAAGAGTTTTTTTCAATTGTTAACTTCATTTGCTTGTTGCTGTCTGCCATTGGAACAATCACTGCAGGAGTCCTGTGTGAGTTATCAGATCCTCACCATACTGCCTGCTCATTCCTGAGCTGCTGCTTCTCTGACAACAGTTTTGGCAGAGTCAGATGATCACTTCTTTTAATTAAAAAAAAATCCAGTTCATTGTCTGTTTTTTGACTGTGTTGCAGCGGCGAGTGGAGCAGCCGCTGTATGGGGTAGACAGCAGCGCAGCCAAGGAGCCGCAGGAGGAACACTCTGCTCTGCCAACGCTGATGTCGGTGATGCTGGCGAAGCAGCGGCTAGAGAATGAGCAGCTGGCACAGAGGGGAGGTGGCCTCTGTTTTACTTTTGTCTCGGTGAGCAGCTCCGAAAAGATTTGAATCCTAAGGCATGTGTCTAGTTAAGGGATGGGGAATTTGAAGCTTTTCTGCCCAAGTGCAACCTCGTTTTTGCTGTCACCTTCTGGTAAGTTCATCTTCCTTGGGAAGAGTTCTAGGTCCCAGCCTTTGCTTTTTTAATAAAATGGCATGAGTTTTAAGTTAACAGCTCAAAATCTTACCTAGATCAAAATGATGTCATCTGAGAAGATAATGTGATAGATGCTGAAAAGCAAAAGACTGAAGTATAGTCTTGTTACGAGAAGTGTTCGGTTTAGCCTTGCTTAATCTCAGCTGCTGTGAATTGTATCAGGCTTTTAAAAGCTTTGTGTTCAGCAGGTTGGGCCAGGCTTCTTGGAAGAAACTGATTCTGCTTTTAATGAACTGTATCTATAAAGCATCCTTAAACCTGAGCATGAAAGTGTGGTGCAGGCCAGACTGCAGCTTCAGTGTGGAGATGAATGTATCTGCACAGGCACTGGTGGTTGTGCTGAGGGACATGTAACAATACACAACTTTCTTTTACAGGCCCAGCAAGGCAGCCCATCTTCTACCGGATCAGGGAACACTGAGCATTCCTGCACCTCCCAAAAACAGATTTCCTTCCAGCACAAACAGTCACAGGTATAGCTCACTAGACAACGTAGATCTTGGATGTGAGGTTGAAGCTTGATGCAGTTGTCTGCTGTGCTAGAGGGTGCTGCTGGTAGTGGACATGATGTTTCCAGTGAGAAGAGCCAGTATTCCCAGCTCCATCTACTGTAACTACTGAATGAAGTTAATTTCTCTGAGCTTTGTTCCTCATCCTGTAAAGAACATTTTCAGTTGCTGCTGCTGGAGTTTTTCCAATCTGCTACTGAGGCTTTTCTGTGTCAGTGCTGTGGGCAATTTGTCAGCTGTATGTGATTGTGCTTGGGAGAGGACCATCTCAGCTCTGTTTCTGCTCTGTTGTATCCTCAATGTTCTTCCTCTCTCTGGAAGTGAAGGTGAGAAGGAAACCTGAGTGATAGTTGTGAATGTCTCTATTCAGGCGCTGGGTCATGGGTGCATCATGCTGCTTACAGTACAAATCGCCCTGGCAGCTCTTTGACCTCTGCAGAGTCCACTTGTGGAATAGTTGTCCTGTCAAGATGGAACATGGTGTATTCCTGGAAGTGCTTCCCAGCAACTTCACTTATCTAGAGTTAATAAGAGGAGTAGCTCTTCTGACTGCACTGATATCTTTTAGGTGCCTTTTAAATTACTGAGATTCTTACAGCTGTGTCATCTTCTGTTGCTTACCATGGTGCCCAGCTTTATCTGCAATGCACCTGGTTTATCTCTTCTCCAAGCCGGCTTTTAGTCTTCTTTGGATTTTCATCTCAGATTTCTCTGTGTCTTCCCTTGAGCAGTTTTTAAACAGTCATTTCCTCACACCAGTCTGCATCAGAGATGATTTCGCTGCTGGGAAGGTCCATTCTCCATTAACCCTGTAGGTGGTACAAGTTCTCTCTTCAAGGACAGCAGTCCCCCCTCTGGGGGTATTCGCTCAACTCTGGGCTCTGTGTTGTCACTAGGGTTGTGTTTATCGTCTGTATTGTTAAAATTGGCGTGGGGAAATCCCTGTTTCATGACAGTGCATGGAGAGGTCTCTGTGTAAGAATGGTGCCACAACTCAAGAACCTGACAGAGATTAACATAATCTTTGCTGTCCCAACACTCATGCTTAAAACAGTGGTCCCGCCTGGAGGAAAAAACAAGGTGATTTTATTTTCTTCTGTGCTTAACACAAGATCCATGTTCTTAGCAAGACATTATCTGAACAAACTTTCTTCCAATGTTCAGCTTCATGATATTCCCCAGAGGTCTAGGTGGGGCACATATATGCGGGAAAGAATCTAGGAAGATGTTCAGTGGCATGAGGAGGTCCTGTACAGATTCTTTGTTTTTCCCTTCCAAGCCTGTTAGGAGTTGATAGAGTTAAAAAATAGATAAACTTCAGTGATTCCCAGCTTGAATCACTTGTGGCAGTGCCAAAAACAAATCGGCATGATTTCCTCAGTGTTTTCAGTTAGTGCTAGGGCCCGAGTGCTCTGAGATGACTTGGGGTGAAGTCACATGTAAGGGTATGTATCCTGACTTCATCTGACAAGGGGCAAGTATGTCTGTACACTTGCCTAAGGGAAGTAACAGTCACTAAAGAAACGTTCTGCTGTTTGGCCACCAGGTACACCAGGTTCTCCACAGACATCCTGCATGGTGCCTCCCATGGCAAAGCTTTTCCTGGAGGCAAGGAAGCATGCACCAAGTTGAGTCAGAGGTGAGGTGACCTGCTCAGGCCGCCTCTTTGTCTCTTGGGATTTAGACCCATCTTGCTTGATGTGCCATGCTGGCAGGAGCTCTAATTGAGCTTTTCCATACTTGGGCATATGTCAGGAAGCAACAGTCAGCCAAGCTTGTCTCTTACTCCATGGTGTTGGCTTCCAGGCAGGCTTGAAATTTGGAGAATAGCTATATAACAACTCCACAGGTAAGCTTCTGCAATCTCTTCTCAGAAATGGAATAGGTGCCTGCTAACCACAAGTGTGAAATCTATGTGTACAGTCCTGGCGAGCTTCCTCTATGTTGACTTGACTGTTTTAGATTCTGTGTTCAGGTACATACTGACTCCTTCCCCTTCCCCACCCTTTAATTGGAGTGCTGAATATGAAATATTCGAAGATATAGTGTGTGTCTTCTGTTCCTATGTATAACTCTCACTTTGCAGCTTCACTGAAGGTATTTGAGATGTTCTGCATCGCATAAAACTTTTCCAGATAGTTTTCACTCAAAAGCTATAAAGCTCCTGTCCCCAGTGGGCACTAATACATCAGTTTATCAGAAACAAAAGCTTGTGCCCAGTATTCTTGCTGTCAGTCTGTTACAATATTTTAAGATTAATACCTGTGTTTTCTGTCAGGACTACTTCAGAGCCCACAGGTGTTGTCTTTTTCTGCTGGTGGTTGTCTGTGCTCATGAAAGGTCATAAATTTGACACTCCAGCTAAGGGCTGGAATTTGGTGTGGGTTTTTTTTCTTAAGCCTTTTTTTCTGTGCAAGTTCTTCTGCATAGAGACCACCAAAGAGTGTGCAAAACTCAGCTATAAATGTAAAATTCACAGGACACAGAGGATATTTTAGGCTGTTGAGAGTTACCAGTTTGTGCTCTTCAGAGCTCTGTGCTGGCTGACTGCACCTCCTGTGCTGGAAGAGCCCACTATGCAACAACAAAATAAATAATGGAGAACATTCTTCCCCTGAATGCCAGGATGCAGGGGATCAGTTCTTCTGAGACCCTGCAGGGGGTTACGCTGGGACTTTAGTGCTGACTATTCAAAACATTATCCATTTGTTTTAAACACGGCTTATGGTGATTTTTCCCTACAGTCTGACCTCACAATGGAAAAAATATCTGCACTAGAAAACAGTAAGAACTCTGACTTGGAGAAGAAGGAGGGGAGGATAGATGACTTATTAAGAGTAAGTATTTAAAGTGGGACAACTCTTCTAAACGCTGCTATTTAAATGTACTTAGAATGCTTGTGCCAGCCAGGCTACAGAGTAGGGGCTTGTATAGCAAGTGTAGAACCAACACCTGCAAGGTAAAGCAAATCCAATGATCCCTTACCAGCAGGATAATTGTCTGGCCTGTGGACTCTGTTTGGGCCTGCTTGAACCTAAGCAATGGTCTGGGGATGTGCAGTGCAGAGTTGTAGCTCAATTGTTTGTGTCCTCAGCAGTGCTGGCCTCCCTTTGATCTGTTCCACACTTGTGTGTTTTTGCTGGTTAACCTAACAGGTTTCTCTGCACAATTCACAGAATTATGGAATCATTAAGGTTGGAAAACACTTTAAAGATCACAAAGTCCAACCATCAGTGTAGCAGCACCGCCATGTTCTCACAAAACCATGTCCTCAAGTGCCACATCTGCATGTTTTTTGAACACTTCCAGGGATGGTGATTCCCTTTTCTTTCCAAATAGTTACTACCCTCTTCTAAGTCCTTAGGAGCTGACTCTGTCTTCTGTTTGGCAGCATGTTCACTAGTCTCTCAGTAGCCTGGGAAGCTGTGTTCTGAAATGCTCACTCAGGAGAATCAGAGACATGTATAGAGATGAGAATATCCTTTGGCCAAACCAAAAGAATAAAGTTCTTAATGCATTAGTAGTCTTCAGTAAAAGATAAATACCTTCAAATCAAGGATCTTGTATTAATGGAGGAGTTCTAATTGACTTAGCTTTCATCAGCTGTGAGAGGGAGCTTTTGTAAAGTGTTGAAAAGCATTAGAAAGCACATTAAAGAGAGTAGAGGGAAGGCTTTGTGTGTGTCTGGTCTCAGCACCTGAAAGAACTCAGTCAAGCTCGTTGGAGACATGAGGCACATGTATGCTTGTGGGAAACAATCCACAAAGCAGTAAATAGATTTTTTAAAAATTATTATTTTTGCTTTTACCAGACTATTTGTTGGAAGGGAAATGGTTAAGTTTAACTCTGTTAATGAAGGTGGTTGCACATATAGTCCTGATGCATGCTGTGATGGTGTGAACCAGCAGCTTGCCACTGGAAGCAGTCGGGGCTGATGGAAAGTGACTCAAACAAGAATTTACCTGAAAATACAAAGAGTTCCCCCATGCTTTTACTGTGTCAATATTGTGGCTAACGTGGGAGGACAGTCCAGCAGTGACTAAGCTATTTTGAGACTTTGTTGCTGTGGCAAGGTCTTAAATGCTTAACAAAAAAAAAAAAAAAAAAAAATTAAAATACTTTTGGTTGTCTTCATTTTTTGTACCTTAGTTCCTTACATGTAAACCAGGATGTCAGAACTTTCCTGTTGTAGAGGGGTGTTAAGATGTGAGCGAGTTAAAAACTCAAGAGTTTGTCTTGGATGTTTTGCTAAACAAAACCTGTTATTCTATCCTGCTGGTTTTCTGACTTTAATCTGATCCCCATGGCTTGATGGAGAAACTTCTTCCTAAGTGGTGCTTAGTTTGGCTCTTCTGAGTGGTTTGAAGTCACAGGCTTTGTTCTCTGTTCACTTTTAGGCCAACTGTGATTTGAGACGGCAGATAGACGAGCAGCAAAAGATGCTGGAGAAGTACAAGGAGCGGTTGAATCGATGTGTAACGATGAGCAAGAAGCTTCTTATAGAAAAGGTGAGCAGGGGTCATCTCTGCAGCCACAGTTCACATCCTTGAAAACATCTCTGTCTTCTTAGCAGTAAAAATCTGCTCCTGTTGCTTCAGTGAGAAAAGATAACTAGAATTCTGTCTTGAATTACTTCTCTGCAGACAGGACGGTAATCCAAAGACTGAAGTGGTTCACAATGTTAAGGTTTAGTCACTTTCCATAGTGGCAGAGTGATCTCTTGCTTAAATGAAGGAGCTCTAAATGCAGCAGGCATTGCTTGATTTGGAAACCCATACACTTGAAAAGCAACACTGTGCAGCTCTGGGAATGCAGCAGCAGTGTCCCATTGTGCAGTGGAATTGCAGATACACTCTGGGACATGGGCAGGTGATTTAGACCTTCTTTCAAATGGCGAAGTTGGAAATTGTTGCTTTGTGTAATACTGAAAACAACACACTGGGGACAGTGCCAGGTTCACCAGCATCCAGCCTGGTTCATTACGGAAAGATTTCCAGCTTTCTTGGTGGTTAAACAGTGTGGGGGTTTGTTTGCTCTTTCACCTGTTGGCCAGCTATACCTATTGTTTGTGGGTAAAACTACCCAGGTGCTGACTGGGACAGGCCGTCTGTTAGAGTTGATTTTGTCACAGAGCTGATTGTTCTTGGCTGAGCAGGGCTCCCCTCTCCAGAGTGATGACCTTGCTGAGATTGTGTCACTTCTGGACATGTACGAGAGTAGGACTGAGCTGGCTGATCACTGTATCTTAGTCTAAATAGTGATTCAAGGTACATTTTCTTTCTTCATCTCCTGAATAAGGGCATGGTCAGAGCTGGGCCTGCAGTCTATCTAAGCTACTGATACAAAGAGATAGTTTTTATCCTACTGGGAAGCTGATCTCAACTGATCAGAGGATGGGTGAGCTGCCCAGGCAGTCATCAGGAGGGAAGAGTGAGGCTGAAATGTCATGATGAAGGTGAACAAACGCCTGCCAGACCAGTGTGAAGCACCAGCAATAATTTGATCAATGATATTCAGTTGGGTTTCAGATAATCAGAAATAACAGAAAGTGGAAAGAATTGGTGGTGCTTTAAAATGCAGCACAGCCCTTAGCTAGTAATTTAAGACTTGTATTTTTACATGGCTTTATTTTGCTTTCAGTCAAAGCAGGAGAAGATGGCATGCCGAGATAAGAGCATGCAGGATCGCTTGAGGCTGGGGCACTTCACCACGGTGCGGCACGGCGCATCCTTCACCGAGCAGTGGACAGATGGTTATGCCTTCCAGAACCTCATCAAGTGAGGACAAACAGGATTGTCTTTAACTTCAGAAGCAGAAATGGGGAAAAAACCCTAGCAGTTGTGTGTGATGTCTTGCACATCAGAATGTGAGAATGGTGTGACTGATGCATGGAAGGATCGGATAGGAACTCCTGACAATGGGGAACTCTTTCACACTGAAGTGAGAAATCTATTTCCACTGAAACTTCCAGAGACTTGGACTGGAATGAAATGGTTTCAGTTGACCTCTGGTCCAACTGTTACGACCTGTTGGGAATCCTCAGTGCACCCACCTGGCTTTGTAGTGTTTGGGGTGGAGGGGTGGACCAAAATCTCACATATATTGTAAGTCAATTTGATTTGCATCTTTGCATATATTAGTCAAAGAAGGCTAATTAGCTTGCACTTTTTTTCCCCCTTAAGTCGAAAGTATAGAAGCTTGAAAGAAAAAATCCAGACTATTTAACTTGTTTTGCCTTGTGGTAACAGTGATCAAAGGGGCTGCAGAAACCTGGAAATGAAGATCAGAGACCCTTTGTGCAGGATGTTAATGGAAAGATCCAGTCAATTCCCACCTGGCCTAAACCTTTAAGTAGGACTTGGCAATTTAGTTGCACTAGAGAATTATGTGTGATCCTTTAAAATCACACCACTTCTCTGTAGTCTGATAGGGAGATGCAGTGCTTGTTAGGCACAGATAAGGACTTAATAATGCTTCCTTCATTTATGCTGGAAGTCATGGCAAAAATACTTCTGGAATACTTACCTGCAGTCTCAGTTCCTTTTTAAAAGGGAAATAGGTAAGCAAATGCTTAGGTCACTTAGACTTGAAATTCCAAGAGTGCTTTTATCACTCTAAAATGTTTGAGATAGTCTTTTTATCTTGGAAGAGAGACAGTTCCTTAGTGAAATCAGGAGTGATGATGGTTATATTCCAGAGAATTTAGGATAGCTTAACTGTACTTTTGAAGTATAAGGATACTTCCTCAGACAGTGCCAGACTTGAGGAATAGTTTTAACAGGAAAATCTGAGATTTCTAACAGAGGCTTTTAGGAAAAAGTGTGTGGAATGTTAGTGACTTGACATGGATCCTAGGTTTCTGTGGGGTTGGCAATTCCTTTGGATGTCCTCTGCATGAATTAAACCTTTCACTTACTGAAAGATTCCTGTGAGCCAGGAAAAGAATCATGTTTTATGTAAAAATACCTTTAAAACTCTGACTCATCATGTTTGGCACATCTCCCTTTTCTGTACAAAAATATTTTGTTACAAATCTTAACACGTGCAACTGATTGAAAATTCATGGGTCCAATCTGGTAAGAACAGATGCTGAAAACAACCAAGTGCAGACCCTTAGTTATCTGTTTTCTTTTTTCTCCTCTCTGCTTTTCAGGCAACAGGAAAGGATAAATTCCCAGCGGGAAGAAATAGAAAGACAACGAAAAATGTTAGCAAAGCGGAAGCCACCCGCAATGGGCCAGACCCCTCCAGCAAGCACAGAGCAGAAACAACGCAAGAACAAGACCAATGGAGCAGAAAATGAAACGTAGGTTCTCTGGCCTTCTTGGTGCGTGGCAAAGCCACATGCTTTGATTAGAGCGCAGAATATCTCCTGGGAAATGGAATTTTGCCCTTGCCTCCAGGCTTCACTCCATGCAGAAATGAATATTGTGGAATTAGCCTGGCATTCACCAACATCTTGCTCCAGTTCTAAGTAGTTTTCATTGAAGTAAAAGATAATTGCCAAGTCCAGATTATGTATGAGCTTTATTTTTTTATGAGTCCAGTAATTTTTTCAGTATTCCTGTTGTGGTCAGGTTTGAAAAGTGGGCACTGACTTTAGTGTTGTAAGTTCAGAATTGGTATCGGTATCAGGGTATACGTGGTGCTTTTTTTAAGGAAAACAAAATTGTACATATTTAGAAGCCTTGATTTCTGTATATTTACTGTGGAGAATTCTGAGTTATGAGTTTTGAAACAATTCATTTGGGATGCTGAAGCAATAAGATGCTCTCTATAGAGATAGTGTACTGAGCATTGGCCTGTTCTCCAAAACAGTTCTTCACACATACTTGACTCAGAGAAATGGTGGAAGTGCTACTCTTCTCATGTTTTTTGGGTTTTTTCTGCCTCTTTTGAAGTTACTGATGCTCTAAGAGACTTGATATTCTTCTAGAGTGAAGCTGGGGCTTGAAAGAAACTTAGAACATTATTTTTTTCAGAATCTTTTGTGAGTTGGAAATACATTTAGTCAGAGACTTAGCCCTACCTTCTCCTAGTTCCCTTTATAGACTTCATTTTATTGCTGTGGGCTAATACCATAACCCTCATTGATGCTTTTCATTTTTCATTATTAAATCTCATGGGCTTGACTTGACCTCAAAGTTCCAGAAGCCCTTTGAATTCTTGGTCTTAATCTTTAAAAGGACATGTGAATCAAAAGCTCCCACTGCTTCTGCAGTCTCAGCAGAGATGGCACAAGGCTGTGTAAATCCTGATATTCAGGGTGCCCTCAGCTCCAGGGCTGTGCCCTTAGAGTGCGATACAGGTACCTGCAGATCAGGTGGGTTGTGTTGGAGAGCACTGTTTACTTCCTGCAAATAACTAAATTGGTTGGAGACCTTTTCCCCCCTCATTCTGGCCAAGGGAGCCTGAAAAGAACTAAATAAAACTTCCAAGTCATCCTTTTTATAGCCAGGTTTGAGCTGGGAGAAGCAAATGGAATGTCTGTACATGGATATTTTGAAGCATTGCTATTCACTTTGGCAACCTTTCACTTCCAAAGAGCAGGATGAGCTTTCCCCATTTTTGTGGGCTTCTTTTTCTCCAGCAGTCTGCTGCAGCTGTAGCATGGCTTATTCTGGAGACACGGCAGCACAGGTCCTAGTGTGCCCTGGCTTGTGCTGTGAGCCTGCCTTGGCATAATCCAGCTTTACCATGCTCTGCTAGGAAGCCTCTTGAGTTCCCAAGACTTTTTCTCTGTTTCTTGCTGGTTTATCATTCTTCACTAGTACATTTTAGGGTGATATTTTCATGGTTTAGAAAAGGTTCCTGTCGTGTACTTGATAAAAACTGCTTGCCAGGGTAAGGATATGGGTCATGTGGAGTGTTGTAGCTTATGTGAAAACACTGAGGTTTTTGCAAGTCAGCTGTAGCAACTGGACTGACTAACTACTTGATAATCATTAGTTATCCAGTAAGTGCATTTGTTGGACCATTGTGTATCAGGAACAAAATTTTATGACCTTTGGAGAGAGGTTTTTCATTGTGGAACTCTTACAGAGGCTGGCATTTAGGTAATTTAAATATAAATGTTTCTAGAAGTTGAATGAGAAGCAGACAGTCAAGTTCCTTTTTTGATTTTTGGTTCCTCTGTGGTTATGGTTGCTGCTGTGTCTTAAAAAGGAGAGGAAGGTCCTGTGATGCAAATTTAAACACAAGCTCTCCCAAAATGAGTTTTCTAGCCTGTGAATGAGAAAAGAGCTTTTTTAATTCCGCTGGTGCTGGTTGAGATTCAGTAGGGCAGCCTTCAGCTGCCTAGTGTTTCTAGTATGTTTCTGTGAACTGGGTGGTGTTTGTCTCAGAGCCCCCTTGATTTTTGTGATGATTACTGTGATAGGCAGCTGTTTTGGGCATTGTTAGCCTGGTGGTGCTTGTTACATCTCTGCCCTAGTGAGTAGACTGATGACGTTTGTTATTTGTACACAAACATATGTGCAAACCTTGTTGCTGGTTTATTCAGTTTTCTCTTTATTCTTCACACAGCAACAGCAACCAAAGAATCACAGTATCACAAAGACCTAAACTCTTGGGACGGTCTTTTAGATTATCTGAATCTAATTAAAATTCAGGCTGCGTGTGTGAATTAGAATCATAGAATCACAGAATATCCCGAGTTGGAGGGGACTCCCAAGGATCCTCAAGTCCAGCTCAGGGTCACCAGCAGTTGTGTAAGAAATGAGACAGCATGTGACCATCTTTGGTACGGGCTTTGTTTTTTATGAAGCAGTTCCTTCTGCTCAAGATTCTTTCATAGGGAACTTGGCTTATGAGTTTTTCATTAAATTTATCAGGTAACTGCTTTAGGCCTTGTTTCAAGTACCTGGACTCTGCATTATCAACAGAGGGAAGCTGGGACATTTCAAGATGAGCACTTGATGAGCTGAATGCTCTCTCCTCTCAATTTACTGAGTAAGGTCTCCATGTACAGACACCAGACTCAGTCCCCCTTTTAAATAAGTTGAGATGCTGATGCTCTGGAGGCCTTCTTTGCTAACCTTTGTGAAAGTACTGTGTAGACCATATTTGCTGTTGCAGAAATCTTCCTGGGATATGCTTTGAACTCAGTTTAGGTTTAAAAGAAGATATTTTTATGCTGTCACATGCAGGTCATGTTTACAGAGTGAACAGATGCAATTGATAAGCGTGTCATAACTTTGTGTTGGCATGTGATGCTTTTACCAAATTCCTTGGTAAAAGCAAGGTAGTAATGGGACAGTTAATACAGTGATTAATTTTTCTAGTCCTAAAGACCTCAGCGTGTCGTTGCATTTCACTAGCAATGGGCTCTGTCACTGGTTTAGTGTAAGGCTGTGCTTTGTCCTACGTAGCATGCTTGCATGGAAAAGAGGTCAAAAACATTGTGAAACTTCTTTTGACCAACCACCTAGAGCAGAAACTTTGCACATAATTTACTATCAATAAAATAGGGATTATTCCCCTCATCCCATTGCTTCTCCTAACTACACGAGGTCAAAAATACAATAAATTTCTGAAGGTTTCCCTGGAAACTACTTGGCAGAACCTGAAACAGGAAAAAGTTCTGAATCCCAGGTCATTGCACTGTTCACAGTGGCTGTGTGGCCAGGTGTGTTTCTAGTCTCAAAGTGAATATCTGGATTGAATTATCCAGCTTTTATTACAAGGAAAAATTTAAAATTAGTCAGTAAAGCAAACTTTACATGGAAAATAAGATGTGGAATATTTGGGCTTTGCTTTTCTATATTTAGATTGTGGTTTAGCTGTCTTTGTTAAAAGTCAATCAGTGGCCTCTATAGGTGCTATTAGGGACTTGAATTTGAAATTATTGGATATTGTTGAGGTTTAAGGTTTTGTTCTCCTTTAGACTGATTATTAAAAAATATAAGTTGCAGAGTTTATCTAAAAATTTTTATGCTGGCTGTTGATCTACTCTGTGGAGTTGTTACTTCCACTGGCAATGTGCATTCTGCTGATTGTTCACTTTATCACGTTTGGAAACCTAATGTGTTGAGTCTTTCTTTTTCATGCAGGTTAACATTAGCAGAATACCATGAACAGGAGGAAATCTTCAAACTCCGACTAGGTCATCTTAAAAAGGTAAGAACTAGTTGCAGCAAAGGCTTTTTGTGCAGTATGCTGTGAACGAGAGCATTTCTCTGTAGAGGTCAGTACTCATTTGATAATCAAGAGGGTTTTGCACTTGAAAGGGATAGCCAGAATTTTGTAACGATTTTTTGGGGGCGGTGATATTGACAGAAGATGTTCTTTGCTTCAATAAATAGCTTTCTCTGTCCTTACAGTTAAGATTTCATACAGAAGTTCTAGTTTTTTGATACATCTTCTGTCACTGTGACCTGCCTGGTGGTGGACACTGAATGTGTGTAACATGAGGGAGCAGTAAGGAATGAACTAAGGGAAGAAAATTATAAAAACACAACAAAAAAATGCAAGTCATTGACTTTTTAAATTCTTTGCAATATTGAGTAACCAACGTTATCATTCCAGTAAAATCTCTTGGGCTGTTGCAAACCAGTCCTGTTCAGGCTGCAGCAATGCACATTTGTTCTCAAAAATACCTTGGCCTCAATAGAAACTGTACCTGCAGGTGAGGTTATATTTGGATAAGCTGTTGGTTACCTTGAAAGTGATTGTAGTGACCTATAAATAAGTTTTCTGGGACGCTTCAACAGATGAAATACTGGGGAAAAAAGTAGATGCCTTCTGCCATTTCCTGATTTGCTTAGGCCAAGGAGTTTTCTTTTGGAAATGAACCAAAGAAGAAGTAAATGTCTTGCTGGAGTGCCTCTTCCTTCTCAGCTGGTGCTTAAGCTCTGTGTTTAGTTTTTTTCCTGTAACCTTGACACACAAGTTTAATGCAAGGCCTCATTAATGTGTCTGTACTCCTTGTTATTTTCTGTGGAAGAGAAAGTTACTGCACACCCAGAATCTGCTGTCAGTCTGCCCGTTATGCTTTATTGACCTCTGAACAAAGAGAAGTGACACAGGCAGGAGACTGCTGCAGGCATGCTGGCTCTACAGCTCCCATATTGCTTCAGGAAATTAACTGCATGTCCATCTATCCTGGTATAACAGTGCCACCCTAGAATGGAGGAATCCATTTGGAAATGGACCTTAATGGAAAATGAAGTCATGTGTTGGGATCGTGGCATTGTCTGAAGCTGTGCTTATCCTTCTCCACTTTTGGAAACTGGCTTATTCTTTATGTCTAAAAATAGAACCAGTTGGAAAGGGAGGGAGTGGAATCACAAGACAGATGGGTAACAGTGTCCTCTGAGTCACATACACAAATTGTACTGCTCAGAGAGCATGTTTGAATTGAGGTTTGCAGCCCTGGCCACAGTGATGTGAATTCTCATGTCATTTTTAAGGGCACCAGAACGTCCAGCTAGACAAACACTATGTCAGAACTTCCACGTGGCATTGAGGAGCACTCTGACCTGTTTGAGCAGTTACCACTAGTAGAATATAATGTCATTCTCTCACACTTTCCATCCTGTCCAGATGCTGCCCCATCCCATGTGTCACGACATCCCTGCTCTTACTGCTGAGGGCTGTCTTCTTTCTCTTGTCCCACCAGAACTGAAATTCCTTCAAAAACAGCTGCATGGCACTTATTCAGGGAAGGAGCAAGACCACAGCAACAAGGCTTCTTAATTACAGAAAATATTATAAACAAGGAGGTGTAAAGATATGTCTCCTCCTGTCTGTGTAGGTGTGAACAGAACTGCCCAGTCAGTTTTCATTCCTGTTGCTTGCCACATGACTGCAAACTGACTCTGACCATCTCTCTGATCTCCCAGACAAGTTTTATGCCAATAACCTCTTCAGAAGTGGAATTTAATTTGTGTTTCCATAAATCAGGTGGAAACACTACCTGCAGTGCCTTACAGAGTGTTGTGTTTTTGTTTTCCCTTGTGCAGGAAGAAGCTGAGATCCAGGCAGAGCTGGAACGGCTAGAGAGGGTTAGAAATCTGCACATCAGGGAATTGAAAAGGATACACAATGAAGATAATTCACAGTAAGCACATGGGATTCAGGGATAAGAACTTAAAGTAATTTTGTATTTGTTCTCTTCATAATGAGCAGCCATCTTTTCATAATCTTTCACTTAATCGTTTTTAAATTGATGTTACAACTCAATAGTCACTTGATTGTGGGGTGGTACAGGTATAGCTTGAAGTTCACATAAGACAGGCTTCCACATGCATCAAGGCACCCTTAAAAAGACTCATTGGTGCAGTGTGATCAAATAGCATCAAATTTGTCAGTTATTAACACAATTATATTTCTCTGTCTGAAAGTGAAAATTTCATTTCTTAACTGTGCGGTAGCTGTAATTTATTGTGCGGAGGAGATCGTTATTTATGTCTTCTTAAACCGTGTCTTTCTTACCAGATTTAAAGACCATCCAACGCTAAATGATAGATATTTGTTGCTACATCTTCTGGGTAGAGGTGGCTTCAGTGAAGTATATAAGGTAACTTGGAAGTGGCAATCTGATGTAATCTGGATGTGCAGGAAGCAGAGTTTTTACATTTGTTTTCTCAATGGTGTACAAGTTACGGAGGGAAGAAAGGAGTACAAAGCTCATGGTGCATCTGGCTTGTATTAGACATCAGAGTTGAGATTTTCAGGTGCTGGCCTTGTCCTCAGGGGTCAAACTCCCTTCAAATATGTGTCAAAAAGTGTTGCACCAAGTCTTCAATTTTTGTTAGGACAGAGGAGCAAACCACTTGTGTCTTCAAATGCCATGCACAAATACTTGCAGTAGCTAAGCCTTACTGAGATGGCACAGCAAGTCTGAATGTGTCTATAAATAAGTGAAAATAGCTCAAATAATAAGAGCAAAGCCAGTACTTCCTAGGGGTATGAGGCTCTTGTGCCTCTATTTCTTGTGCCTTCATTTTACCCTCTGAAATAGTAGACTGGGGGCTGTGTGTGTAGTTTTGGGAATTCCTTAGAGCTGAGGATTCCTGGTGTCAGCACTTTAAGAGCCAAGACATGGGATACTTTGGTTCTTGTTATTTGACTATTACACTTTGAGCTATTCCAGTTCTCAGTATTCCCCAGTTTTACTCAGAAGTTTGGAATTCATGTTGAATTTGGCTAGAATGGAAATAATTATGCCAGTGCAAATATTGGAAACTTCATGTTGCTTTATTGTTTTGATGCAGCACAACAATAGGAACCTAAACTAAGGGGACTAGACTGCTCAGATGGGGGGGAAGACGTGTGAGTGTCTTAAGTACTTTGAAGTGCTTTGCTGACTAAGCAGAAAGCTTTGGCTCCACAGATGAAAGCAAGAGGGCATGAATGTTTCCTACCTGCCTGCTCTTAAGAGCTGTAACTGTTACTAAAACAAAGACCTGCTTAGCCCTTCCTCTCCAGGGTCTTGGCCAATCTATTAAGTATTAGGAATTAAGTAGACAACTTTTGGGATGAGCACACATTATGCCTGTTTGCTTACCACAGCATCGTGTCCTGTCCTGGAAATCATTATATTATTGTTGCTACTCTTAGGCGAGGTAGAAGATTTCTGCATTGCATCGTGAGTGCATTTTCAGAGGTCCATTCTTTAAGGACTGTTTAAATAGTAAAGAAGTGGAGGGAAGGATAAAGCACAAGGTCACACAGCGCTGCTAAATTCTTGAATTCTCCAGCTTTTACATGTGCTGAAACATTATGCTCTAAGCTGGATACTGAGCTACCAGAGAAGCAAAGCATTGAAAAATCTTCTGTATTTTGGTGGTTATTTTTTATTAACCCAAGTGTAGGAAATGAATTTTGGACTTGGGAGAATAATAGCACGGTCTTTCCCAATATAAAAACTGTCTATATTTTGGTAATTTGGTCTTCCTGGTCCCTTTGTAACTCTGGTACTAAAATGACAAAATCAATGCAGTTGAGTTAGATCCCATGGGGAAAGTCAGATCAAAGCACAGAATATTCAGTTGTTTTCAGAGTTGCTTGAATGCATTAGTGCAACTTTTCAAATCAAAATGTGGGTTTGCTTTTCCCTCACTCTGTTTTAATGCTGATTTCCTGGGTGGAGATATTGGTTTGTTAGAGGCTGTCTGCTTTTGCATTATTAACTTGAGCCTGTGATTCCTACTGATTTTCAGCTCTTCTCTCTGCAGGCATTTGATTTAACAGAACAGAGATATGTAGCTGTGAAAATACACCAGTTAAATAAAAACTGGAGGGATGAGAAGAAAGAAAACTATCACAAGTAAGTGAGTTTGTAAAGCCGCCAGCAATGTTTCCCAATTCCTCCTGCATTTGGTTATCAAGTACCAGTGAACAGGCTGGCTGTTTTTTTTCCTGTCTTTGCTACTTTTCAAAAGCCACTTTTTGTCTTAGTAACTAATTGAAAAAGTTCTAGTCAGATTAGAAATGTTTTAAATGTGTACATACTCACAGAAAGTTTTGTATAAGCCCTGTGCCTCTGCATTTTAAAGCATCATTGCTCTGTGAGGAAAGTGCTGTAGTGGCTTCTCTCTGAAATGTTCAAGCATCTCTATAGGAAATGGTTTTTCCTCCCCATCTTTCAGGTACACACCTGCATTGTGCTCTCTGGAAGCTTCCCCCTTCCCTTTGCTTCCTAGAATAAGTGATTGTAATTGTGGCTTTCCACTACCTGAAGGGAGCCTGCAAGAAAGATGAAAAGAGACTTATTTACAAGGGCCTGGAATGATGGGACAAGGGAGGAATGGCTTCAGCCTGACAGAGAGCAGGGTTAAATTAAATATTAGGACGAAACCCTTTACTGGAAGCCTTTTGCTGTTGGTAGTTCTTGTTTCCTAATGCCATGGGTTAGATAACTGCAGAGTGACAACCAAGCCTTCTCCATAGGACTTCTGAGATAAAGCTGTTCGTAATTCCCCGAAAAGTTACTGGGAAAAATTAAGCTGAATTTGAAGCCTGGAAATTAGGCTGTTAAGTATCATGGAATTCTTCTAGAACTTGCTGATTTTTGTATTCAGCTCTCTTAGATCTCTTAAGGAATTATGAGGCTATTCTATTTTGGCAAGCAGTACCATTAATCAAGATGAGTTATTTTGTAGCATTGCCAGGGTTGGAGCTGCACTGGGGTTTTGTGGTTCTCAAGAACTGTTCTGTGCAGTTCCTCCTTCACTTGATTTGTCTGAAGCTGTCTGAGGAACGTGCATGGGTTTGATTGAAGCTGGATGCTGTGTGGTATGTCTGGATTCACTATCTGGAGAAATTAGAATTAAGTACCATGTATGACTAATACTCAGACTTTGCTGTTTTCAGACATGCATGTAGAGAGTACAGAATTCACAAAGAACTGGATCACCCTCGAATAGTTAAACTATACGATTACTTCTCACTGGATACTGACTCGTAAGTTGTGTTGTTCTGTCCTTTCCCAGGGTTTGACCAATTCACTAAAGGCAAAGTATTTAAAAGTTTCCAGGAAAGTCCAGAAGGTGTCCACACCAATGTTAGACTTTACTGCAGAGATCACCAAGGTGTACTTCCAGCGTACACTGGTTTTCTAGAGACTCCAGCTCACAAACCAATGTGGTGTGTTCTGTCAGATGTGGTGCTTTACTGGTAAATCCTGCTCTTGGCCCTGGGCAAATGCCACAGCTGATACAGCTTTCAGCCTCTAGGTGTTTAATGGGGGATCTCTGACCTTTGTACTGTTGAGCATTGAGGCCTGTGCTCCTGGTAGCTTACTTTTAGAAAGGGATTCATAGGCTGAAGGACTCTTAATTTAATATATTGGCCAAATGGGTGAGTTAGAGAAAAGCAGTAACAAAAATGTTCTGGTTTCTATCAGGTGCCTTAATTGCAACAACTCCTGTTTTTCTTTCAGGTTTTGTACAGTGTTAGAATACTGTGAGGGGAATGATCTGGACTTCTACCTGAAACAGCACAAGCTAATGTCAGAGAAAGAGGCACGATCCATTATCATGCAAATTGTGAATGCTTTAAAATACTTAAATGAAATCAAACCTCCCATCATACACTATGACCTTAAACCAGGTATGCTGTGCTGACATGCCTAAGGATGCTAAGGAGATGTAATGGGTTGGAGGTAATATGAGGCAGTTTCTTTTGTTCAGACAGCAAAAAGAAGACAGGGCTGTCTTGGACAGCTAACTTGCAACAAGAAAAAGGAACATAAAATGCATAGAACCTTTGGAAAATGAGTAAAGGATGTTGTCTACCAGAATTGCAGCATAGAACACGGAGGTGTAATATTTTCAAGAATGAGACCTTGAATCACCAAGTGGCTGTGTTATTCCTAACGTCCTGCTTGTATTCTGCTGTTGAGAGCTTCTGTTACTGCTTCACAAGGGCTCCACAATTACTGGTGTGCTTCATGTTCCCATTCTTCTGGCATATTCTTTCTGTAATCATCTAGCTGAGAATTTGATGGCAGAAGCTAACTTTGAAATGTTTGTTTTTTCATGTTGAGTGTCAGCTCCTAAAGCTGAGGATGCACAGTCAGAGTGTTCAGGTTTGCCTTTGAGTTAATTCAGTTACATCTGCTGGGGAGAAGATCCTCCCCAAATGGTGTTGTATATTTCCCTTCTACCACTGAGGCAGAGCCACAAGGGAGAAAATGGAAATGCTCCGTTTTGGGATGATGCATTTTGGCTACATAGGTTTTTTCTTAGTCCAGTAAATTCATCCGTCTCTTTGGGCAGTTACCCCTGGCTTGTCTCCTTGTACTGGTGGCACCTCATCAGCATTGTGTAACTGGTTTGTGATGTGGTTTGTTGCATCAGCATGAGGAATGTGTACGGGAGATGGTGCTGTTGCACTGGTTATAGTGACCTGGTTTCCTCTCTGGCTGTTCCCAAGTTGTCTGAGCTCTGCCTGCAGCTGCCTAGAGCTGTGATTCATCCGCTGCTATCACACACAGTTCTGCTACTTTATTGTAGGCTTGAAGAAAAACAGCAATGATCTGACTTCTTGATGGGTTTATGAAAGACTCTTGCCTAAGCAGTCATTGTCCTTTTTGAGCTTAGAAAGTCACTGGGGAGCACTGTTAGGAACGAGAGAGTTTCTGGCATGTTGAGAAAACAGGACAAGTCAGAACTTCCAGGCAAAATCAGTCATAACTGTGTATGTGTACTTCTCTCCTTAATCCTCCTTTTTGACCTGCCCTTCCAACAAGACCTTTGGGAAGGGGTCAAAATAGCCTGGGCTTGAAGCTTATTTGGCTAACAGGGCTCAGGATCTGGAGGCTCCAAGTAATATGAGGTCGCTAAGTCATTCAAGATGAGCAGATCAGCTCTAGCACTTGGTAGTCCCCAAGTTGTCTCTGAAGTTCAGCATTTTGAGAGATAAAACATCTGGTGCAGCTCACTGTAGGTCTCTTGTCCTTGTGCAGTGCAGGGCTCAATGCAATTTTATTCTTGCAAAATGTGTATCCTAAGGGCTGTTTCTTTCCTCTGTCTAGGTAACATTCTTCTAGTCAATGGTACTGCATGTGGAGAGATAAAAATCACAGATTTTGGACTTTCCAAAATTATGGATGATGATAGCTACAACTCAGTTGATGGCATGGAGCTGACATCGCAGGGGGCTGGTACTTACTGGTAAGCAATGCCTGGGGAATTTGCAAGTTAAGATCAAGAACAGTTTATAAACAGCTTTGGAAGTGTGTCAGCTCTATGTGTGCTGCCGTTAGCTGTGGTAGCTTGACACACTGGAGGTTTGAGACCCTGCAAACTGCTTTTGTTGTCACACAGCTCCTTTTGAGGCTGGCAGATTTTTGCTGTTCAACAGTTCAGTTTTTGAAAACCAGCTCATATTCAAAAGGCTAGTGAAAAGCTGTATATGCTGCTGAGATGGTGAGCTATGGAGTGGGGCTTGGCTGCTCTTTCACAGTCCAGAGTGGCTCTGTCTCGCATCTTAAGAACGGGGGAAATACTGTACCTATTTGGAAATTCAGGGGCATCAGGGAGATGAAAAGAGTATTCTTCTAAAATTAGGAGGTGAAGATCCGTAGTTAGCTCTCGAAAAATACGTAAATCTCACAGTGTTGTCTATAACCAGAGCTTCACATGAATGTCATGTTTTCAGCAATTCTTTATCTTCTGTGCCAAGTGTCACTGTATCACCCTTGGCTGAGAGCAGACCCTTGGTGAGTGCCACCAAGTGTCACTCTTAGATGTCACCCAAACTGCAAACTATCCCCATGGGCAACAGAAAATTTGTTGGGCCATTCTGTGTTGTACAGCTTTGTTTTGTTCCTAAAAATGAAACTAGCTGTACCCTGAGTGAAGCTAAATGTCTTTAACTGGGGCGTGGCATCTGGAGTTATATTTCTAAAAAATATGTATTCTGGCTGTGTGCTTTTCATTGTGGAATTGTTGGCCAAGCAAATGCAAGTTCTGAAGATAAAAGAGAATGGGCTTGTTTTACGTGCTCTGGTGAAAAGAAACTGACTGTGCTGACTAGCTCAGAACACAAGTGCCTGGAGAGTCCTTGGGATCACTGTTCCCAGAAGGAGTAGGCATTAGTGATCTTGGCCCAGAGATGCACAGGAATGAAATGGGACCCTTGAGTCCCAAGCCAGTATCTGATCATAGAATTTTCTGTTCTAAAGGAAATAATGGAAAATACCTGAAGCTGCTGCTCATAACTTCTTAACACTTCCTTCTTATCAGGTATTTGCCACCAGAATGTTTTGTGGTTGGGAAAGAACCTCCAAAGATTTCAAATAAAGTTGATGTCTGGTCAGTGGGAGTCATCTTCTATCAGTGTCTGTATGGCAGAAAGGTAAGAAGGCGTTTAATTGCTTTTAGTGGCATTTCCCAAACCTTTTGGAAGGCAACTCAGGCTTCTGCTTCCTTCTCCATAGATTTAGATTGTGCTCCCTTGTTTCCCTGCCATCAGTTCCAGGGCAGAGTGCCTGCTAATGGAAGTGGGGAGCATAGACTAGGCTGTGTTGTGCTCTACCTTTAGCATTTCCTTCAGACAAGACATTATGCAGAACATCTCTTTCCACCGAGCATGTTCCCACTGAGGCTGTTTTGGGCAGGACAGGTGTGTTATTCGTTGTCTGAGGTTTTTGGTCTGGTCTTGTCTGTGACACTTTCCATGCCCTGAGTCTTTGTTGGTCTTGATGGCTGCAAGTGCTTGGTGGGGGGGGAAAATGTAGGTACAAAGACCCACTTTAGAAGGATGGCTTTTTTGGAAGGGAAAAGTGTGGATCAGAAGAAGGTGATTTGTCAGCTTTATGACAACAGGAAAGATTGGACAGAGAAGGGAAAGGATTCCATGGGCTCTTGTTTTCGGGAGTCCCTGGTAGCTAAGTGTTGTGGAAGCCAGGACTGACACACATGTGCTGCTCAGTCCTGTCATTTGACATGTAGAACCAGCCCAGCAGAGACGAGTGGGTGAATCTCTGCCAGCTCAAATGGATGACAAATGCTGTAACAGAACCACAAGGTCTGGAAGCAGATGAAGATCCCTGCTGGGCAAGCCAGACATGTTCCAGCTTGATCTCTTTTGTTCAGTTGAGCATGGGAGACATGTGTCCTGGTCCTCTGGTATCCACAACACCTTCCTAGCAGTTATGGGCTGCTTGCCTGGAAAAATGCTGATGTCAGGTGATGATAAACAGTAGAGCTGTGGGGGTTTTATGCCTGTCACCAACCTTTGACAACTTTTTTCTTTCTTTTGATAGCCCTTCGGCCACAACCAGTCACAACAGGATATTTTGCAGGAGAACACAATTCTGAAAGCTACTGAGGTGCAGTTCCCTCCAAAGCCAGTAGTCACACCAGAAGCAAAGGTAAATCTTCTTGAGGGTCAGGCAGCACAGGCAGTTCCAGCCTCCTGATTTTGATAAAACCAGCAGGAATCTTGTGTTTAATGCTCATCTATCACAGTCATCAGTGGCTTTGCATGTCCCATCCTTGGAGGTGTTCAAGGCCAGACTGGATGGAGCTCTGAGCAGCCTGGTCTACTGAAAGGTGTCCCTGCTCATGGCAGGGAGGTTGGAATGACATGAGCTATAAGGTCCTTCCAGTCCAAACCATTCTGTGATTCCATGATTACTGCAGCTGTCAGGCTGAGCACTGGGTGCCTCTGCCCATGCTTCTCGTGGTACAAGATGAGATTTAGTGCAACAGCTGGGCTGTGTCTAGGAAAGGGAATTTCTGTGCTGGGGTTGTCACATTGGCCCCACTCCCAAAGAGTCAAGAACTTCCTCCGTCTGTCATAAAAACTAATTCTTGCTTTGGTTCTGGGGTGCTGCAGGCGTTCATCAGGCGGTGTCTGGCCTATCGAAAGGAGGACCGGATAGATGTCCAGCAGCTGGCCTGTGACCCCTACTTGCTGCCTCACATCCGCAAATCTGTATCCACAAGCAGCCCAGCTGGAGCTGCAATTGCATCAACCTCTGGATCATCCAATAACAGCTCTTCAAACTGAGACAGAGTCATAGGCCAAAAACTGCTTGAGAAACCGGCAAAAAGACTTTCAGAAACACCTTTGGAACAGAGGAATCCACAAGGGTCTCAAGAAACCTGTACCAGGTGCTTTTTTCTCTTGCTTTTTTCCATCCATAGAGCATGACAACATCAACTCTCATCAAGAAAGCCTTCAGCATCTAGGCCAAGCCATGTGGATAGGAGATGGCTTGAGGTTTATCCAGTCAGTGACCACAAAGGGGTGACTGCTCTGAGCAAGGAGGGGAAACTCAAGAAAAAATTCAAAAAGACATGGTTCCATGTACTGTGAACTTCTGAACATGCAGCCTTGGAAAATCCAGGATGCCGTGTGTGCTTCATATGAAGAATGTGGACTTTGGAAAAAAGACTGGGCTAGTCCAGTGTTGATATTTAAACATTGTTCTTTTTCTTTTAATAAAGTTTAGGTAACATCTCCTTGAAAAGCTCGAAGCACCAAGGTTCAGCTGGGGATGGTATATGACTCTTTGCCCTTTGGAGGGGAAAAAAGTTGATCCTGCCTGTTCATGGCACTAGAGTTAGTGTTTTACCCCTAATTAATTTCATTTTTTTTTAAATAACAGTTTTTTGGAAGAAGACAGTTTTCTGGTCTCAGTGAAACCCGTATTAGCAGGTTTGTGACAGTGTCCATTCTGCAGCTGGTGCAACTTTCTGCTCCTTTGGGATGGCCTCTTGGGAATGATTCACCTTCTCAGGAGGGTGGTGAAGCCCTGGGAGAACAGGCCTGTGTCATTCTGTGATTAGAGGGGATCACAGCTCAGGCTGCCACAAGGTCTCAGCTGCTGCTTCATCGCTCTCAAAACGGTTGCACCATTTTAATGTGTTGAAGTGCTGTTTTTGCAGACCCAGTCCATCATGCTCATACTGAGCTCTCCTTACTTGTGAGCCTGATCTTGGCTGGCAGGCAGAGAGCAGGCAGGGATTAAAGCACAGCTCAGGTGTCACAGGTGTGATTTGTGCCCACACAGCTCTCTACTGATCTGTTCATGTTAGAGTGTTCTGAAGCCGAAGCCTTGTCTGCTCATCTCTGTTGGGTGACTTGGGAGCAAAGCTTCCTCTCTCCCTTAGCAATTTTCAACTTTGCTGACTCATGAAACTTGCTGCCATCACTGCATTGGATTTCAGATGGCAGGGAATTAACGTTCTTGAAAGGAGCAAACACCCTAATTATTGTCTCCCTCCTGTAATATGCATGGAGGGGTCTTGTACCTCCAGCTGGATCTGCCTGCTGTGAAATGGGAGCCTCCCACTCTGCTTTCTTTTCCCTCCCGCTTAGAAGGAAAACTGAAAATGCAAAAAGCGCAGCAACTGAACATGTGGCAGCCAGGTTGGAGTGCTCCTAACATGTTGCAGGAGTTCTTAGCCAGAAATATTTCAAGATGCAGTGTCAAGGAGCAGGGTTTGTCCCGGGGGGGGGGGGGAGATGAGCCCTGCATGACGGCAATTCGGGATGGTGGCTGAACAAGCCACCCTGTGCACACTTCCCTGCCCAGTCCCTGGACTATTCTGGGCTGGGGGATCCTTTGTGGGACACTTCCAGGATTGTACCCACAGCTGTGGCAGCCTGTGGGCTGTTTGGGTGGCTCTGTTACCCCACTGGCATCTCCTGGCAAGTGCTGTTCTCCATCATGCACTCAGAACTGCCACTTGTCCACCTTATTGTAAGCCATCATCTGCAAATACTGTGCTTAAACCTGATCAGGAACCTGTTAACTGAGAAATGGAGCAGTCTGTTGGAATTAAGTAACAGGCCAGGGAAGTGGAGAACTCTGCTACTTTGATTTTTCTTAATATTTTTTGTAGTGATTCTTGGGCTTTTAATTTGATTTACTCCCTTGCAGCTGCATTTAGGATGGTGTCTAAACTGCTGTAGTGTTTTATAAAAAGAACAGAAATACTGCATCTTTAAATCCACAGCCATCCTTTCTTAGCCCTTTCCATGCCTGCTGCTAGAAGTTAATTGTCCAGCAAGGAGCTTCAACGTGTTTATTCAGCCTCTGTCAGGAGAAATCAGGGTTGGTGCTTCATTGCATTTGCCAAAACTGGTGATTTGGTATCTCTCCATATCAGGGAGAATTCTAAAAGGGTTTTTTTCTATCCTGGTCCCCTTGTTTCTTGGCCATTCAGTGTGTGCATCTTTGTGGGTGTGATTAGTTTTGTGTCAAAAGCATTTATTCCTGCTGTGTGACACCCATTCAGGGCCAGGGGACAGTGATGGCTTTTTGGGGCTGATAGCAGGGAAGAACCCTGGTAGAATTCTGGCTGCAACACTTCCCTTGTTAAGATGGGTTTCACTTCCAGTAACAGACCCTATCGCCACACTGTTCATTTACTTAAAGTGTATGAAGAATTTGTAACTTAAACCAGGCCAGACTGTTTTGGCTCTACCCAACTGATGAGATATGGATATTAAAATAAGTTTTAAGAAACTGATTTGCTTGGCTTTTACTATTTTTCTGCTCTTGGCATTGGCATGAGCTCTCTTGCCGTGGCTGCACAGAGATGACACAAGAAGGATGAGGAAGGATGGAGGAAGGGTGTATTCCATAGCTCAGAGCAGTGAGATCTCTGCATCAGAGGTGAAATTGCTGAAAATTTGATTCACTTAATTACTGGTGTTGATCTTGTCCTGGAACATAACTTAGAAAGCTGAGGTAGATTTGTCCCTCATTTCGTGTAGAATAGCAGCTGCCCTTTGGAAGCCATATATGTTGAGGACATAAAAAACTCGCCTTTTCTGTTGCTGAAAATGTGTGAGTCACAACCTCCCATCCGCTCCCAGCCCATGGACACCCAAGTCTCCCCGCCCAGTTACCCACAATAACCACCCTGAGCAGTGATGAAACTCAACTCCTTTAATTTCTTGGGGCTGGGCTTTGTCAACTTTAAAAAAACACACAGCAGAAAATTAAAAAGGATTGTGGCAGCTGAAGATGTTGAGTCAGTTTGTATCTGGAGTGGGGAGTGCTAGCATCCTTGGCACATCCAGCTCCTCCACAGGCATGTGTTGGCTGCCCCCAGGCATCCCCCAGGAGCCAGGGCTGCTTCCTCAGACAAACACCAGGCCCCAGGTTACACTGCAAACCTGACCTGACCTTCACTGTGCCTCAAGTCAAAGTCAGTGAGTGCAAGTGAAACCAAACACTGAGTGAGCTTGGCTCCCTCCCTGCTGCTGCAATTGATGATTTCCAGCCCCTGTTCCAGTTCAGGTGATGTGACAGAGATTTGGGGCAGGAAAGGTGCTTCAGTAGCATCAGAAACTTCATCATTGTCCTGCAGTGGGTAGGCAGGTGCCCACATCTGCAGGGATGTGTGGGGGGGATGCACCTTGATGCCTGCAGGATCAAGATTCACCAAGGGGCTGCCTCGCTGGATGCTTCACCTCCTACATTCGCAGCTGGGAGTCATGCTATAAATGAGCTTCCCTTTACTAAATGGGCCAGTCCCAGTTTATTTTGTGACTTGGCAGACCTGCAATGTGAGCTTTGCCACCACTGCCACTGTCTGCCTGGGGTCTGCTGCTGGAGGATGCTGTTTTGTGGGTGCTACACAAGCTTGGCTCAAGCAGCCTTAAACTAAACTTTCCTACTCACAGCTTGGAGAACAGGAGACTGGAGTGTGTGGGAGCATAATTTAGGCACAACCCTGACTCCTACCGAGACTGGACCTAATCTTTGCTACCACGTGCTGGTGCATCTTTGCACCGAGACACTGATTTTCCACAGTTGCACGTGGCTCTCCTGTGCTGCATGCTTCTCCCTGACCCCAGTGCTGCCCTCAGGGGCAGCTGGGTGCCCCCCTGGACATCACCCTGGGTGGGGGCAAAAGGCCAAACAAACGCAGAGCAGCTCAGCCTCCCCTTGCTACATTCACACCCAGGAGCAGGCTCTTGGCCACAAGGACACTATTGTCTCTTCTGGGAGCAGGCCTGAGACACACTCCCATTCCATGCTTTAGCTGCAAGGGGGTGTGAAGGCCAGGAGAAGTTGCTGGCATGTTGTCATGGTTTGACACTGGCACAATGCCAGTGCCCCCATGAAAATGCAATCTCTCAATTGAATGCTGTGAAATGTGATTGAGAACAGAGCAAAGCAGGCCCAAGCCTAATAACAAGAAAAAAACTTTATTAAGCTACTACCACTATGCTACTATAAAACAGAAAAAAAGAAGAAAGAAACACACACAATTCAAAATGAAAACCTTCCAAAGCATTCCTCCTCCTACCACCCAACTCCAACAAACCACAGTGAGACACAATCTGGACCCCAATCAGGTTTCCACCCTCCAGATAATCAACACCCAGTCCATCTGCAGGGAGAGAGGAGTCTCTCCTGTGCCACAGACCCCCCAAGAAACACAACTGCCACATCCTGTGCTTCCATGTCCCCACATGGCACCGCCCGGAGAAAAAAAGTTTGCCAATGGTGACCCTCTCCTTTCCATGCACAGTGCTCTCACCACCAATGCATGGATGGACAGACTGCTTTTAGGATTTTTTCCTAAGGATGCCCTGGCAAGAGGGGAAAAAACAACAGTTCAGTTTTCCATTTTTGGGACCAAAAGTCCCCCCCCATTTTCCCCTGGGGCCGAGGATCCAATAACAAAGATCTTCTTCTCTTCTTCCTCTGCGAAGACAGGGAGCACCACCACAAACCTCCTTAATTTTCTCTGTTCACTCCACTTCTGTCTTTTCCCAGCTGAAGCAGGCTGAAGTGTTTTGAGCTGATTCAGAGAAGCCTGAAAATAGAGGTTATCCACCATCTGCCCTACTAGTGTGGGATTGTTATGAACAAAACAGCCTGGCTGGGACACTTGGGCTTGAGCTAAGGCCTGCCCAGGGAAACACCAGCAGCAAAGTTATATGGAGATTGACTCTGCTTTGCATTCAGGGGAAGAAAAAATCCAGAGCTCTGCTCAGCCCTGTCTTTTCCCAGCTGAAGGCTCTGGCTGCGTAGGAACCACAAGCATGTGCTGCCCTGTTGGCAACTGCCCTGCTCTTGGCTCAACCTCACATCAGGATCAGGACTCCAAACCTGCTTTGTTCAGGATTGGCTCATCCCAGCTCCCACTAATCCTGAAAATCCACACACTCACACCCAAACCCAGGAGAATGGCAGGGGCTGATGCCAAAACCCCTCCAGGCTAAAAGAACTGGTGAGGGATGGAAGTAGAAGGGAACATGCCCATGGCTATGAGGTAAGGCAGTGGCAGAGGTGGAAATGAAGCACTTGGAGCCAACTGGACCATGCTGCACTTGCTGGAAAGGGCCAGAGAACAGGGTTAAGAGCTCTGCTCTGTGGTCCAATACCCACTTCTGGCTGGAAGAAGATGCTGTTCAGGATATGCTGTCCTCCACTACTCTCCAGCTACTTTCCCTTCCCCCCCTCCCCACTCTGCAGCCCAGTTCTGCCAATTTGCTCTTGAATCATGCAGAGCAAGTGTTTTTCTAAAAGGAAAATTTCTTGTACATGGGTGGAATTCTCTATCTGCCCCTTTCCAGGAGCCCCCCAGGGGAGGCCAGGCAGGAAGAAGAGGCAATGGGCTCACAAGGCAGCACTTCTCCTTGGGCAGCCCCCAGCCTTGTCCCACCCCCGCAGTGGAAGGCCAGGATCTTGGCACTGGTCTTCACAAGGCTGGAGAGCCCTGAAATTCCTCATGGCAGCTCCAAGTGAGCACATCTGGTTTTAATAAATTATTTGCAGCTTGAACTTGTCTGACTTTTCGGGGCTGCAGAAGACAGAGCAGCAAAGAGGTCTGAGAGCTGCCATCTGGGACGCCCACAAAGGGACTCCCTTTGCAGTGCTGGGAGGCAGCAAATTTGGGAAGGAGGTCGGGGGGAATGAGGCTGACCAAGCACATTAAGGGACCTTGGCAAAGCTCCATCTGCTCCTTGCAAGAGCCAAAGGGACGGCTGGGCTGGAGACAGGGAAAGGGCCCTTCATTTTGGCCAGGATCTCTCTACTTGCAGCTGAGTGTTGAGGGGGCTGATTCCAAACACTGAATTTCAGCTCCTGGGGGAGGAGCATGGGACACAAACAGGAGGTGCTTCCTGACACTTCCTGCTTGGTGGAACCTCAGCCACCAGCGCTGAGAGCACTGTTGCAGTGTTGAACCATAATGAGAAAACCAAATCCTCAGGAGCATCAGGATGGGGCCCCAAATGCCTGGGGCTGCTCAGGAGCTGAGCCTCTGCATGGTGTCCCCAGGTTTCTCCCAAAAGGGAAGAGTGCAAATGCAAAGCTTGGGGATGAGTCCCTTGCTGTACCCCCATGAGATTCCCCACCAAACTTCACAGTCCAGCAAGAGGATACCAATCATCCTCGCTGCCTGCAGTGCAAAGCCTGGAGCTTGGAGAGGGAGCTGGACTCCAACAGAGAGAGCAACATGGCCATTCCCTGCTTCCACTGCTGCTGGCACAAGGGAGAAGGAGCCAGCAGACGCCAAGACAGCCTCTTCCCCAAGCAGTGACCTCAGTGTACAGCGCCTGCCAGGTGGGTGTTGATCTTGGCCCAGCCAGTCCTATTTGCAGCCAGAATGAGGCCAAGGCAATGCTGAGCTCTTGGCAGAAGCTGGCGGGTACTGCTGGTCCCCAGCAAAGCCAAGCCCCTGACACCAGAGTCCTTTTAACAGCAGCTGCCCACAGGCAGGGCTTTGATCTCCTGGAGCCCTCAGTCCTGCAGAGAGCCATGGGCTGGGGGGAACACCCTTGGAAGAGTGCAACAGAGTATGATATGCTGCCTCCCTGGTCATATAATAAATAGACCCTTAGAACCTGCCAGTCCTCAGATGTGGCCAGACCCTTCCTTCAGAAAATTCTGGAGGCTATAGATGCTGTCCACGAGTCCCCAGATTTCCTCTAATGCCTCTGGCATAAGCAAACACCAAATGTGCCCCATGACAGCCCCAAACTTCTTAAGTCATGGGGTGCCTCACTGCCACTAAGCACCCCAGCTCCAAATCTGAGGATTCTCCCCCGCCCCCATGGTTGGATCCCACTCCATGTTGGTGACATATTTTGCAACTTGCTGAGCATCTGAGTGACCTGCTTTCTCCTGAGTGTTCCTGACCAGGTCAGATGTCCAGCCAAAGGCAGGCAAGTGGCTTGGATCTATCTCCAGAGATGTTTTTCAGACCTTCTCCAGGATGACTTTTACTCGAGCCAATGCTGTTTCACCCCATCCCACTGCAGTCCTGGCACTGTGACCACTCCCTACATGGGATATTGCTTTGGCCCAAACCCAGAATTTATTTTTCCAATTAAATGACAAGATACAGATGCTTCAACTGTGGGAATCAGCTACTGACACTGAACACCCCAAGTTCTGGGTAATCCTGGGATAAACCCATTTGCTCTGAATCGATCTTCCAAGGCAAGGAGCTCTCCTGAGATTGTGGCCAGAGGTGCAGTTGGCCATCCCGTGCATACAGCCATG